ATTTCAAAATTAATTGGTTCCTGGGGCTGGAGAGATGGCTCAGCGGTTAATAACACTGGCTGTTCTTGCAGAAGACCTGGGTTCGAATCCCAGCACCCACATGGCAGCTGACAGCTGTCCATGACTCCAGTACCAGGGGATCCGACAGCGCCTTCTGACCTCCCCGGGCATTACACGACACGGGTGCATTTACCTACATGCAGGCAATACACACATACACTTAAATTAAAAATAATAAAATATATTCAAAATTAATTGGTTCCAACTTACCAATGGTGAACACTGAAGGGAACAAAAATGCCCATGATTGAGCAGCCAGCACTGTGCTCAAGGAAAAGAAATGGAAATTACCAGAATCAGCTGTTCTCTTCATCAGGCGTCCTGTGGAAGAAACACTTGGCTTAAGAGATGGGGCCAGGTGTGGTGGTGCACGCCTTTGATCCCACCACTTAGGAGGCAGAGGCAGGCAGATCTCTGTGAGTTCAAGACCAGCCTGGTCTACATAGCAAGCTCCAGGCCAGCTGGGGCTACAAGGAGACCCTGTCTCAAAAGAACCAATAATAACACTAATAATAATTACTAAGAGAAGAGATGGAACAGTGGGTAAAGGGGCTTGCTGTCAAGGCTGAAGGCCCGAGCTCCATCCCCAGGACCCATTTGAAGAAGGAGAAAACCCACTTCTGCAAGTTGTCCTCGATATCACATGCCCGAGATTCCAGCCTCGCTGCACCTCCAGGGCATGTGTAAGTAATTATTCACTCAACAAACAACAGCTGCATCTGAACCAAAACCAAGCAAAGGCAGAGAGGACAGAGTTCTAAGAGACAGATTTTATCCTTGGTCCGTGGGAGGTGTTTCAAGGTCCTGCAGTGGCTTGCAGGGGGCATAGTGCCAGGCTGGGTGGATCAGGGTTTGGGGCAGGACAGATCTCAGCTCCGTAGTGGTTTTTTTTTTTTTTGGCTCTTTTTGAGACAGGGTCCCCCTGTAGCCCCAGCTGTCCTGGAACTCACTATGTAGACCAGGCTGGCCTTGAGCTCACAGAGATCCGCCTGCCTCTGCCTCCTGAGTGCTGGGATTAAAGGCATGCGCCACCATGCCCAGCTTTTTTGGTCTTTTTTGAGACAGGATCTCCCGGTAGCCCCAGCTGTCCTGGAACTCTATGTAGACCAGGCTGGCCTTGAGCTCACAGAGATCAGCCTGCCTGTGCCTCCCGAGTGCTGGGATTAAAGGCACATGCCACCACGCCTGGCCTTGCTCCATAGTGTTTTAATAGGGAAAAGCCATGTCTAATTGGCGCAAGGCTGCAGGGTGTCAGAAACTCACAGCTGCTGAACTAAGAAGGCTGGGTGGCTGTCTAAGCTGTAGGCATTCCCCACAAAGCAAGAGAGCTGGGTATAGTGTCACCGTAGTCACCTGCCAGCCCAGCACTTGTGATGGAGGCAGGAAGATTGTAACTTCTTTATTTTTTCATATTTTATTATTTTTATTTTATGTGTATGTGTGTATTGCCTGCATGTAGGTAAGTGTACCCGTGTCCTGCAATGCCTGCAGAGGACAGAAGAGGCTGTCGGATCCCCTGGAACTGGAGTTAGGGATGGTTGTTGGCTGCCATGTGGGTGCTGGGAACTGAGCCTGGATCCTCTGCAAGAGCAGCCAGTGTTCTTAACTGCTGAGCCATCTCTCCAGCCTCTGTAACTTCTTTTTAATTTGTTTTTTATTTTATTTTTTAGTTTTTTTGAGATAGGGTCTCCCTGTAGCCCCAGGCTGGCCTTGAACTCACAAAGATCTGCCTGCCTCTGCCTCCTGAGTGCTGAAATCAAAGGCATGGGCCAAAACGCCAGCTCTGTAACTTCTTTTTAAATTTTATTTTATTTTTTATTTATTTATTTATTTATTTTTTTGTCTTTTTGAGACAGGGTCTCCCTGTAGCCCCAGATGTCCTGGAACTCACTATGTAGACCAGGCTGGCCTTGAACTCACAGAGATCCGCCTGCCTCTGCCTCCTGAGTGCTGGGATTAAAGGCGTGTGCCACCACGCCCGGCTAAATTTTATTTTTTATGTGTATGATGTATGTGAGTGTATTGCCTGAGAGTATTTAAGTGCACTAGTGTCCTAAATGCCCATGGAGGCCAGAAGAGGGCACTGGATCCCCTGGGAACTGGAGTTACAGACAGTTGTTAGCCCCCATGTGGGTTCTGGGAACTGAACCTGGGTCCTCTGCAAGAGCAGCCAGTGCTCTCAACCTCTGAGCCATCTCTCCAGCCCTGGATTGTGACTTCTAAGTGAGCTTAGTGTATACCCACCTAGAATCCCCCAGTGAAGGGATGGGAATGTGACTTACCAGGTGGAGGCCCAGAGTCCTGTCCCCAGGAGTGGAGAGGGATGTCTGGCTAGACTAGTTGATTGTGTCACAGACAGAAGCATCCAACTCCCCTGAGGGCTCAAGGTTTCCCCCAAGGCCCTCACCTGTCTCCAGGGTGACTGTACTGCTGACTTGTTAGCAGGCCTATATCTGGATGTGGCCAGAGGTAGGAAGGGTGTGGTCTAAGTCCCAAGTCTTGGATTTGGGAAAAGACTACTCTCTATGTTAGTCCTGTATTCTTCACGTGAAGGCTGGGGGACAGAAAACTCCACGAGTGCAGAACACCCAGATCGTTGGTCCCCAAAGGCCTAAGGAGCCTCTCCCGCAACAGACTCATGGCATCTTCATGACCTAGGCGAGCAGACTAGACTATTAGAAGTCATTAGGGGTGTGGCACAGGCCTGTCACCCCAAAACCTGGGAAGCTGAGACAGGAGAACTATAAGTCTGAGGCCAGTCTGGGCCCGTCTGGGCTACAGAAGGAGACAGTGGAATAAGTAACATGGAAGCAACCAGGTGTGGTGGCACATGCTTTTAATCCCAGCAGTTGGGAGGCAGAAGCAGGTGGATCTCTGTGAGGTGGAGGCCAGTCCGGTCTATGTAGCCAGGGCTATGTAGTGAGATCCTATCTCAAGAAACAAACATACATACAAAAAACAGAAGGGAGCTGGGTACGGTGCTGCACGCCTTTCATCCCAGCACTCGGGAGGCAGAGGCAGGTGGATCTCTGTAAGTTCAAGGCCAGCCTGGTCTACATGGCCAGTTCCAGACCAGCTGGGGCTACAGGTTGACTCTGACTCAAAAAAATAAAAAAACAAAACAACCCCCCTCCAAACCAGAAGGATTAGACCTTATAGCCTTGAGGTAGCTGGAAGAGAGAAAACTTCAGCTGGGAGGTCCTGCGTTTTAATACTGAACTCATCTATGACATCCATAGAAAGTAAAAATGAAAGAATGAATGGTAAATGAATAGGCCTTGGGCTTTGTTCTGCATACCTGTCATCCCTCTTTTAGTGCCCCTGTAGAAGGAAACGATCCCAGGGAAGACTGAGCCTGTCAGCCTACAACAACTGCCACTCTCTTGGGTTTTTGTTTGATTCATTTTCGTTATTTGTTTCTATCAGCATTTTAAAGAGTTTTATTACTTTATTAATGTGTGTATCCATGGAGGCCAGAAGCAGAAGTTGGATCTCCTGGAGCTAGAGTTAAAAGTGGTTGTGAACTGCCTGACATGGGTGTTGGTAACTGAACTTGGGTCCTATGAAAGAGTAGTAGGTGCTCTTAACCACTAAGCAGTCTTTCCAGTTCCTTTGTTTTTTAAAGACAACTAGCCCAACCTGGCTTTGGACTCATTCTGTAGTCCAGGCTGGCATCAGACTCTCCACAATCCTCCTGTCTCAGCCTTATGGGATGAGTATGTGGTAGACAGGCATGCATCACCTTGTCTGGCTCAGCCCATTTTAACAGAGGAAATCCCAGGCCTGCAGCCCACATAGGGAGACCAGAGCCAAGGAGGAGGAGCCAGGAAGGAGGAAGGATATAGCTCAAAAAAGAGAGAGGAACTGGAGTGCAGGAACTTTAGACAGTGGCACATGGCCAGTGGCTGTTGCTGTTCACTGACCAAGGAGGAAGTTGGGTTGAACAACTCCCCAGATAACCAATAGACTAGGGGCTGGATTCAGCTTCCTGGCTCCTTCCCTGCCTGTCCAGATTTTCTTTTTTGATTGTTGTTTCTTTTTGAGACAGGGTCTCATGTAGCACAGGCTGGCCTCAAATTTGCTATGTAGCAGAGGCTGATCATGAATATTTGATCCTCCTGCCTCAGTCTCCTGAGTACTGGAACAAGAGTTGAGTGCCCAGCTCTGATTTGCTCTGTATGCTTCCAGAATCTGAGAACTCATTCCTGACAGAGCCAGCCTGCTAATTCTTGGGTAAGGGCAATGGTTCACATGTTTATTGCAACATGAGTTTTCAAGTAGTGGTGATAAAATATGTAAAATTGGGATAAGGATGTTCCAGAAGGGATGTGGATGGATGCCACATAGGCAGTCCCTGTCAGGGTGCCTGAGTGAAACCCTAGCTGGGCCCAGTGTTGCCTGTGTACAATCCCAGCATGTGGGTAAAGGAAAGAACACATGTTCAAGGTCAGTCTGAGCCAAATTGACTTGGGCTCAGATAGACTCTTAACAGGTATGGTGATATCCTGCCTCTGAAGCAATGGAAATGATTCACACACTAACTTCTGCCTCACTTGGTCTTGTGCCCCACCCCACCCCACCCCAACATACACACCCGGAGCTGTCCTCAAATTCCTATCTCTCTTCCAGTCCTGACCTATTCCTGGGAGCACCTATCAACCCCTACTTCTGCATGGAATCATTGTGATGGGATGTGAATTCCCAGAGGGTATAAATTCTGACCCACAAGGGTCATTGAACGAATGAGTGAAATTTGGGGACAAATAATTCAATATGGAAAACTAGGTGTGGCTCCTCAGCCCGTTAGTACCTCTCCAGTCTCAGGTCTCTTAAGACCTCCAAGGGCCTAGACGAGGCTGATAATTTGGAGAGGAGGGGTCGCTTCCGGGAAGGGGGGGGTCGTTGGAGCTTCCGGTGCACTTAAGGGGCGTGGCTAGCGGGGGCGGGGCGCTCAGAGCTTCGGGGCGGTGCGAAGATGGCGGCGATGGCAGCGCCAGAGGTGGCTGAGTCCCCGAGCTCGTTGCTGCTGCTGGTGGTGGGCGGCGATTGTGGCTGCCCCGGGTTGCTGGCCTATGTCCTGGAGGAGCTGGAACGAGGTCTGGGTCGGGCCGTGGGAAACCGGGCGCGGCGTCCCTGCCAGAGGGTTCCGGGGGCGCAGCGGGCCGGGGTCCGGGTGGGGCGCGGCGTTCCTGGGGCGCAACGTTCCGAGGTCCGGGTGGGCGTAGTGTTCTACTGGGAACTGGCCGAGGTTGGGGCAGGGCGCGGCGGCGTGCGTCACGGGGTTCCCTGGCGCGGCCTAGAGTCTGGGTGGGCGCTGTGGGCCGGGGTCCGGCTGGACGCGGGTGTCCCTGGTCGTGGGCTTCCGGGGCGCAGCGGACTGGGATCCGGGTGGGCGCGGTGTCTCTGATCTCAGGGTTCCCGGGCGCAGCGGGCCAGGGCTCGAGTGGGGTGTGGCCGAATGAAGCATAGGATTCCGAGGGCTCCGGCGCTTTCTGTTATCTGGGCCGCCTGGTTATTCCTGGCTTTGGGGTTCCGGGGTCCGGGCGGGATGCGGTCTCCTTCCTCTGGAGTCCCAGGCCGCAGAGGAAGTGGTCCACGGCCAATGCCTCCGCGCCCCTCTGCAGGCCGCGTTAGGCCTGAGGTGCCTGGGGGGCCGCTTTAGCGCGCTGCTAATTGGCGTGTGGGTGGCGCTGCCGCCTTGGGGATACTTGGCACCGAGAGAGCTGAGTCTGGCGCACCTGCCCCGTGCAGGCACTGGGCGGGGCTGCATCCCCTGCACCTTCCTGTCTGACAGCCCAGAACCTCTGGAGCTGAGACAGGAGGATCACTGCAAGTTCCAGACCTGCTTGAGCTGCGGGATAGCCTGCTCAAAAACAATGGATGGGGCTCAGAGGGTAGAGTGGTTGCATAGCATGCTCAAAGCCCTCCATCTTCAACACCTGTCACCTGGTCTCCCAATACTGGGAGGTAGACTCTGGAGGATCAGGAATTTAAGGTCACCCTCAGCTACATAGAGAGTTTAAGGCCAGCCTAGGCTACATACATGAGACCCTGTCTCAAAAAACAAAGAAAACCTCCCCCTACCCCAAAGTATACAAAATGCCCACCCTGGTGCTTGGCCTGAAGAACCACCTGGCTTTGGGCATAGAGTTGAACCTGGATGATAGACAGGGTCAGTCTTGCCCTCTGAGGACTTGTGGTGTGGAAAGCCTGTCCTAGTGCCTGAAGGGATAGTTCCAGCAAGGGACCCTGTCAGTGGGTAAAGGTGGGGAAGCCTAGAAGGGGTTTACCAGAGATGGGAACAGGCCAAGGAATCAGGTTTGTGGATGCAGATCCTGAATCTGAAGGCAGGAAGATTGTAAGTTCCGAGCCATCTTGGACTACAGTGTGAGACTGCCTGCCCCCAAAACATTCCGGAGACTAGGAAAATACCTGAGTAGTAAAGTGCTTAGAACTTGAAATCAGGTCCTCAAACCCCAGTGAGAAGCTGAGTGTGGCAGTGTGTCCTGCAATCCCAGCTCTGAGGAGGCAGAGGCAGGACAGTCCTGGGAGTGTGCTACCAGCCTGACCTGACTGAAGGCCTACAGCTTCGGTGGGAGACTGGCCCAGAAATCAAGGTGGAGAGCAGTTGAAGAAGACACCCAACCTCCATGTGCAAGTTTATGTACACACATACACACAGAGAAATATGCATGCACACAGCCCTCCAAAATGAAAGGTCAGCATGCGAACAGGCCTTGTGGCCTAAAGGGTGAATGCCCAGAGGGGGCGGCTCTGGCTGGCTGAACTCTGCCCCTTGGCACTTGCAGGTGTCTGCTCCTGGGACGTGGACCCCACTGTCTGCAACCTGGATGAGCAGCTCAAGGCCTTTGTGTCCCGACACTCTGCCACCTTCTCCAGCATTGTGAAGGGTGAGCCCCCCCCAGCCCCTTCTGTCCACTCACAGACTACCTGGCTGACAAATGACAACTGTGTTGGACAGTGCCAACCCTAACCTAAGGATACTGCCCTTGGCCTTGGGGCACATGAAACAGGACTTGTGCTTTGGTCCCTGTCGCGAAGAGGACACAGAGACTCCAGGGAGAGGGCCTTGGAGATAAGAACCTGTAGGGCATGCTCAGCCAATGGGGAACCAGAAATGGGGTGCAGGGTGAGGCTCCCTGGGACCCAGGGTGCTCAGAGCACCCCTGGCCACACTGTAGATATTGCTGGTAGCCCAGCCCTTGACCAGCCCATTGAGTCACTGTGGACTGCTGCAGGTAGGGGAAGGAAGTATCCATCTAGTTGTCCCCTCAGGTTCAGGTCATCATGGCTTCCTGTCCCCTGAGTGGAGAAAGCATTGGAAATGCCTTATGATGTGTGCCCTCCTCTGCCACTTCCCCTCTGAAGGCCTGGGGTTTGGGTGGTGACAAGACCTTCAGCCTGGGACCCTCTGAGTGGCTATCTCAGGAGCCTATTATTCCACTGACCTGGGTTTTGGGGGTTCTAGGGATGCTTAGTCGTTGTGGCCACCAGCTCTATGCTGTACATAGGAGGAGATGGACCCAGTTCTACTGTACCCACTCAAGGCTACTGGACATCCTTAGCTTTCCCTCCTCTGGGGCCCAAACTATACTGGGACTCTGGGTGGATCCTGGTGCTGGGGAACCTGAGGATCCCCCAGCATCAGGATTTGGCTCTGCCAGCTTGTTCCTGAGTGGGGACTTGGCCTCATCATCCCACAGGCCAGCGGAGCCTGCACCACCGTGGAGAGACCCTAGAGACGCTGGTTCTGCTGAACCCCTCGGACAAGTCCCTGTGTGATGAGGTAGGAGCAGGGTGTCCTTGGAGGCCCTGGCCTGCCCTGCCCAGTCCTCACACCTGGCCCACTACCCCTGTACCACACTTCCCCACCCAGCAACTCAGCTTCCTGTCTGGGGGCAGGAAAGGCTGGACTCTGTGGACTTGGGGAGGAAGGGGAAGTAGTGTATTCAGGCCAGCCTGGCTGGAGGCCGCAGGACACAGAGACGCTGCATTCCTGGACAGCCCTCCAGCCTGGCTCAGGAATTGATCCAGAGCTGGAGCAGGCTGGGGCTGGGCTTCCTCAGAGCTTCTCAGCCAGGAGCCAGTCCCAGTGTGCACAGACTGGGGCTGAGCCAGGGTGCTGCTCACAAAGGTCTTTAACTGTACCTGTAGCTCCGGAACCTCCTACTGGACCCTGCCCCTCACAAACTGCTGGTCCTGGCCGGTCCGTGCCTGGAGGAGACTGGGGAGCTGCTGCTGCAGACTGGAGGCTTCTCACCACACCACTTCCTGCAGGTGCTGGGGGACAAAGAGGTGAGTGGTCCCACTCTGTCATCCATGGTGCTGTGAGGTTTGGGCTAAGATGGTGCGGGAATCCTTTCTGGATTCCTGAGGTGGTGGGCAGAGGGCCCAAACTTGAGCACCCTGTGTTCCTGCAGTGGGGGTAGGGCCAGTGGGGAGCCAAGCAGCAGGTGCAAAGGCCCTTGGGCTTGGCAGGGAAGGGGAGAGTGACAAGAGCCTGTGTCCTTGGGAGAGCCAGGTGGGCTTAGGGTACAGAGTAGCAGGTTGGGGATCCCTGAGTGGTATGCAGGGTGCCCGGGGCTCCAGGAGACCCTGCACTGCTCCTGCAGATCCAGGATGCACTGGCCGCAGTGCCCACTGCCGGGCCTATCCTCACGGTGTCCTGCCCAACCTTCGGGGACTGGACGAAGCTGGGCCCGGGTGTATCCAGGCCGAGGCTGCTGCTGAATCCACCCTCCCGCCTCCCGGCCTCAGAGGGCCTTCGAGAATTCCTGGAGTACGTGGCTGAGTCCCTGGAGCCACCATCACCCTTTGAGCTGCTGGAGCCTCCGTCAGCAGGTGGCTTTCTGCGACTGGCCCGGCCCTGCTGCTACGTGTTCCCGGGTGGTCTGGGTGATGCTGCCTTCTTCGCTGTGAATGGTTTCACAGTGCTGGTGAATGGCGGCTCCAACCCCAAGTCAAGCTTCTGGAAGCTGGTGCGCCACCTAGACCGAGTGGACGCAGTGCTGGTGACCCATGCAGGGGCTGATAGCCTGCCGGGTCTGAACAGCCTGCTACGGCGCAAGCTGGCAGAGCGCGAGGCCACCGAACCCCAACAGGAGCCCCGGGAAGAGCGGCTTCGCCGGCTGCTGTCGCCTGCGCTTGGCGTCGTGTTTCTGAATGCACACGAGGCTACCTCGAGACTGCGTGGTGGGGAGGATGAGGCGGTGTGTGCCCGGGGCCTGCTTCGCAGCCTGGGCATCGCTCCACTCCCACTACAGCGTGGCCCGCAGCCTATCAGGCCCACTGTGCTGTTTGAGAAGCTTGGAGTCGGCCGCTTGGAGCTCTTTGTGCTGCACCCGCTGGCTGCAGACCCTGCCGCGCCTGCCTGCGCACTGCTCATATGGCAGCCTGCAGCGCCGGGAGACAAGGTGGTGCGTGTGCTCTTCCCAGGCCTCACTCCACCAGCTCGCCTGCTTGACGGCCTGCAGCGCCTGCAGCATCTGCCCTGCCTGCGCCGGCCCGTGGTCACTGCCCGTGATCTGGACGTTCCCACCAGGGCAGACAGCCAAGAGAGCCTGGCCTCGAGGGATGCCCGCAGGGAGCCAGCCAGGAGCAGCGCCACCAGGCGGGACACCACCACCACCCGCAGGGAGCCTGCACCGCTCACCCAGGACAGCAAGAAGGATGCTAAACCTGGGCCCCCGCGTCCTGGAGCCCGGGATACCCGCCGCCCAGGGTCCAGTGTTGCCAGTGTGAGCCGGCCCACTGCAGCCATGGCCACCACCACCACCAAGCCTCGCACAGTGCAGAATGGGCCTCGCATCGCAGGTCCCCTTGAAAAACCCACAACTCGTGTCCCTGATCCCCCAGTGGCAGCCACAGGGAGCATCGCACAGCTGGTGGAGACACCTCAGCCACCGGCCACGCTGACACCTGTAACAATGGAGCCGGCACCCTCTCCCACACCTGTGGGGCCCCATCACAGCCCCGAGCCTGGTGATCGCCTGTCACTTAGCCCACTCCGCCCTGAACCCGCGCCTGATGCATCACCCACTGCCACGACGCCCACACTCACCACGCCCTCGCTGCCTGCAGAGCTGGGCTCCCCACATTCCACCGAGGTGGATGAGTCGCTCTCTGTGTCCTTTGAGCAGGTGCTGCCACCAGGTGACCCGGGGCTCAGCCTCCCCCTGCGCCGTGCCCGCCGTTCTGCATCCCCGCACGATGTGGATCTGTGTCTTGTGTCACCCTGTGAGTTCGAGCACCGCAAGCCACCCGTGCCTGTGTCCCCAGGCAGCTCTGACAGCAGCGCCCGCTCACAGGAGCGGCCTGCAGAGACGCCACCCACGTCTGTAAGCGAGTCGCTGCCCACTTTATCTGACTCTGACCCGGTACCCGCTGCGGACTCTGAAGATGACTGTGAGTGTGCAGCCCGGGACCCGCTGCCTGCGCCCCCAGTGCCGCAGCCGCTGCCCAGCGCACCTGGCATCTGCATGGTGGACCCCGAGGCACTACCAGCCCAGGATGCCCGGCGTGCAAACCTGTCGAATCCTAGCCGGGGCCGCAGGGTCCCCACACGCCCCAGCTCCACCACTGTGGCCCCCAAAGCCACGCCTGCTACCAAGACCAAGGGCCCTGCTGGGGACCGGGCTGCCAGGCCGCTCAGTGCCCGCAGTGAGCCTGGGGACAGGGCACGTGGACCCCTCACCAGGAAGCCCTCGGTGCCCAAGACAGGCCCTTCCACTAGGAGCTTGGGTGAGTGACCCCCTAGTGCCCCTAAATGCCTCCTGTCACCCGAGTCACTGCCCTTTCCCAGCTGGTCACACTGCACTGTCTTGGGGACTCTAGCCACTAAAATCAGGTAACATCTATTAACACAGTCCTGCACAGGTGCCACATGCTCCGGAATTGTGTGGGTTTGGAACCCTCCTGGGTTAAGGGGGCTTTACAGCCAGTTAGGAGCCAACCGTCAGTTACCCCACACCGGGTCCACTGTGAAAAGGGACCTAGCATCCCCACTCTGTTGCGGGTTTGGTAAGCTGTGGTGTGGGTACCAGCCAAGTGTTTCCTTGACTGTTTGTATCCAGGCTCCATGGCAGGCCTGCAGGACTTGGCCCATGACTTCATGTATGAGCTATGTGTGAGTGATTTCTGTCATGGCTTCTAGGTCTCCAGCCAAGAGGGTTGCATTGCACACACTGAGATTACAGATCCAGAGGGACAGAAGTCCAGCGGGAGTTGGGGGGGGTGAGGGTGTAGCTGTCATCCAACTCTCCGTTGGTAGAGGCAAGGGTCCAAAGCCAGATCTCCAGAACACCTGCCCTCCAGCCCCCCATCCCGACTTCTGTCCTCCTGGGGCCTCCTGCTGAGCCCTGCCCCCCACCCAGGTCCTATCTGGCCTCCAGCCCCCATCCACAGACTTCTGTCCTCCGGACCCTGCTGAGCCCTGCCCACCCAGGTCCTATCCGGCCTTTGCTTGCTTTCTCTTTCTACAAATTGTAAAACTGTAAACTCACATACAAAAAAGTCCTTTTTTTTTTTTTTTTTCCCTTTTTTTCTTTCTTTTTTTTCCCCCATCTTTTTTGGGACAGGGTCTCCCTGCAGCCCCAGCTGACCTGGAACTCACTATGTAGACCAGGCTGACCTGGAACTCACAGAGATCCGCCTGCCTCTGCTGGGATTGAAGGCGTGTGCCACCATGACCAGCTAAGAAGTCCTTTTTCAAAGTGTACATCAGGCAGGGTGTGGTGGCTCATGCCTTTAGTCCCCATGCTCAGGAGATAGGCAGGCAGCTCTCTGACTTCCAGGTCTCAAAAATATCCCTCCTTCCGAAAACGTGGTGTAGGTTAGCATTCAGCACATGTATCTTTGCACATGTACCCCATGTCCCCCAAACTGCCGCACACACTGCTCCCCCTTCCACCCCAGCACTCAGCTCTCCAGAGCCCCTCATTTTATATTGTTCTTGAAGGGGCCTCCTGTGTAGCCCCAAATGGTGTGGAACTTGCAGATCCTCCTGCCCCGGTGTCCTGCAGTCTTAGGGGCTCTGGAATGTGTTGCTGTGGACTGCTCCCTCGGGAGGTGCTGCCATAGCCTCCCTCCGTGGCGTTGGGGTGGTGGGTGTGTGTGCCTAGCCAGTGGGTGGTGGTTCTCCTCAAGGTAGCCCACCCTCCTGGGTGCTTGTGGTGTCACTGATGGGCTGTCCGGCTGCTCCCCTTCCCATCCATCCTTGGTTCTCATCTTTCTTTTCTGCCTTTGCCCCTACTGCCCACCTAAGGTGGCATCTTGTCTTATGGTTCAAGGTGGTCTCTAGAGCCCAGGTTGGCCTGGAACTCCGGAGTACAGGGATGACAGGCACGAGTCACTGTGCCGGGCCTTACATTTCAATTCTGCACGTCGAACTTTCTGGACTCTGTGACTTGAGTGGGATCGCAGAGCTTTGACCTCCCCTCCAAGGAAGGAGCCCCCCCCGAGGTGGCCCCTTGAGGTGCTGGTTTTTTGGGTTCCTTTCTGTCAGGGCAGTGCTCCTGCCCTCAGCTCTACTGGGGCTGGGGCTGCTCTGGCCCAATTTCTAGGTTAAGCATGGGGCTTGGGCTGGTCCTGGGGCTGAAGGATATGGCATGAGAGGGTTAGTGAGCAGCTGGGGCTGGGGGACAGCTAGACCTGTGCCTCCCATTTCTGAGAACCAGCAGCTGTATCCATCCTAGTGGTGCCTCCCTCACCTGCAGCCCTGGGGACAACACAGCCCACGGTGGCACTAGCTAGCCTGTGCCAGGCCCAGAGGCGGCCCAGGTATCTTGGCAGGTCACAGCTACCCAATGAGGCCTCTGCTCAAAAGCAGCCCAGCACCGCTGTCAAACTTCACTTCAGAAATGCTCTATGCCTGCCTCCTCCTGGGGTCTCCTGGTCTGTTGTCAGCCTCTGCCCCATCCGAGTTGCCCTTCCTGTCCCTCTGCATATTGGCTCCTTGCTGGATTCCTAGTATCCCCAGCAGGGGCCACCTGAGGCCTCACCCGGGCCCTCATTTCCTACAACAGTGGGCCTGTGGGTGCCTAATAGAGCCTCAGACCTGTCTGCTGTGCTGCCCTGGTGCCGTCACCTGAGGGTTGGCCATGGCTTTGTCTTCTGCTCCTGCCTGGTGCCCAGGACACTTCTGAACACCCCAGTCTTGGGCAGCCAGGGCCCCTCCAGGCTTCAGATCCACAGGCAAAACTACAGGGACTACAGGGCGCAGGGATCTGGGCGTGGGTTCCTGTGAGAGCTGACAGGGCCACCCACTGCAGGGGTCCCTGACAGGTACACCACCCTTGTGCAGTGTGCCACCTTGTCAGGGCCACCACCAACCTGTCCCTCTTCTACAGGGCCCAACAGCCGCCCTGCGCCAACTGCTGCTGTCTCTCCTGTCTACCTGGACCTCGCCTATTTGCCTGGTGGTGGTGCAGGTCACCTGGACCAGGACTTCTTCCTGCGGGTGCGTGCCCTCTGCTACGTCATCAGCGGGCAGGGCCAGCGTCAGGAGGAGGGCTTGCGTGCTGTGCTGGATGCGCTGCTAGCCAGCAAGCAGAAGTGGGAGCTGGACCTGCAGGTGTGTGCACTACCCACCCCAGAGACTCTGAGGTCTCATTCCTCCCTACCCCAGGGCATCGGAGTCCTCACCCCTCCCACCCCCAGACGTATTCTCTGCTGAGGTCTGAGGACCCTTGGGATAGGGTTGAGATGTCATCTTGTCTCTGAAGGACTGGTCTGGGTAGCAGGTGGACTGGGTGGTACCCCACAGCTGACAAGTGACCCCCAAAGTCTGGGTGCTCCTCAGAGCCATGTTTGGCCAGGGTGTCAAGGCAGATGCCTCTGGTTATGGGCAGCTATCACTCAGAGGCCAAGCAGCTGTGCAGGCCCATACTGTAGCATCTGGCATGGGTAGGGCTGAGGGCAAAGACTCAGTGTCAGGATCCTAAGATATCACAGAAGACTGGGAGGGATCTGCAAGCTCTTAATGGAGCCAGCTGATGACACAAGCACATTCGTGTCATCCTGGTACATGGACGGTGGAGGCAGGGGGATAAAGGGTTCCCAGCCTGGGTCATGTAGTGAGATTCAGAAAGGAGGTCCTCGGGTGCTGTCAGGGTGGGGCTTTGCCGAGGGCAGAGGGCAGCTGTCTCCCGTGCCCATCATTGTGTCTACTGTCCACAGGTCACGCTGATCCCCACCTTTGACTCAGTAGTGATGCACAACTGGTACGAAGAGACGCATGGACAGCACCAGGCCCTGGGCATCACGGTGCTGGGCAGCAACAGCATGGTTTCCATGCAAGACGAGGCCTTCCCTGCCTGCAAGGTGGAGTTCTAGCCCCACCGCTCAGCACAACCTCTCCTCTGCTGTTGGCGCTTGGACCCAGCCTTGAGGACCATTCTCCCTGAGACCCTCTGCCAGGCTGGCTCTGCCTCCACATCACCAGCGCCACAGGCTTAGGAGGCAACAGCTTCCCCACAGATGCAGGGGACAGTGGATCAGCCTGTGCCCTGAGCAGAAAATGAGACTATATTGATGGTGTAGCCCAGAGGGAGTGTACCCCTGGCTTGTGTGACACCCCAGCTTCCACCCCCAGCACTGCAGAAAGTAAGTTCTGTAGTTACTCAATCCTCAGCACACACGGAACAGCATGCAGGCATGAGGCCAGTCCTACTACCCAGCACAGCTCACAAACATGCACAGGCGGGGATACCAGCCTATCATCTTAGCACTTTGACCATAGACACACAGAAACGGGCACTAGTCTGTCACTGTAACACTTGGACACACAGGCAAGGGATTGCTGTAGGTTGTAGGCCAATCTGGGCTACATAGTGTTTGTCTCAAAAACCTACTAAAAATAAAATAGATGGATGAGATTTCAAGTCCTGGGGAGATTTTGAGAAGTGGCTGGGGTACAGCTCAACAATGACCTTGCTGGGACTCCAGAGGTCACAGCTTCTGTGCCAGTGCTGCAGAAAGTTACATGCCATGAAGTGGTTTCGGCCCTGGGCCTCCAGAGCTCAGAACCAGCCTATGAAGGCTGCCACAGTGGGCTGCAGGCTACTGGGCTGGCTCTACCTTTTTCATTGCTGTAACAAAGTCCCTGAGGCTGGGTGCTAGGTAGAGGGCAGAAGATGGTCCTACTGGTCATCTGGAGCATGAGAGCAAGGCACTGCCATGTGTGGCTGAGGTGCTGGAGGGAAGATGAGTCACAGGAGACCACTGGGGTAGCCAGTGCTGCCCCCTGTGCCAGCACCTTCCTGTCACCCAGTCCCTGCAGTCTTATGTTGGAGGGAGGGGGAGGGTGTGCATGTTGGAGGTCAGGAAATTTACAGAATCAGTTCTCCTTACTGGTGTGAGTCTTAGGGACAGAACTCGGGCTGTCAGGCTTGGCAGTAAATGCCTTTACTCACTGAGCCATCTCACTGCCTCACTCAACCCAGGCTGATCTTGCCCTCAGAGGTCCTCCTGCCTCAGCCTGAGCACTGGGGTGATAGGCATGTGTCATCACACCCTGCTTCTGAGTGACCTAGTGGGCTCAGATCTATGTTACTGTGGATTTTTCTGGGCACTCAAGCCCTTCTGACCTATGACAAATACCTGCCTCAACTTGAATGACAGGCCCGGGTGGCCTGCAGTCTGGGGCTATAAATCCCAGCCCACACCAAGCAAGAGCTGTCTGGGTCTCAAAACTAAGCTCTACCAGCTGCTTGGCTGGGTGCTGAAGAAGGTGGTGGCCCCTCACCACCTAGCTCAGGGCATACCTAGCCCAGAGGCCTCAGGAAATCTGTGGGGGAAGAGGCACACTGTGTGACCATGAGCTGACCACTACCACCCAGCTACACCTCAGAACAGGAGCTGGCCAGTTTCTGGAAGGAAGCAAGGGCTATCTTCAGCTCCTGGCCCCAGCATTAGTTCTGCTTACACCTTCCTACAGCCAAGTGAGGATGGGCTTGTCTCCATTGATAGAGGAGGCCGCCACCTCAAGGTGACATTTTGTTCCTGTTCTAGAGGATTCTGTAAATCAACTAGTATTAGACAGATGGGCTGGGTCTAAGTCACGTGCTCCAGTGGTTCCCACTCAGCACTAGGTAGGATCAAGGTGGGTTCATTCCCCACACACAGCCCAGGACTGGGTAGGAGTCCAGGCCATACTGGCAGTTAGGAGGTAGGATTCTCTCCTAGCGTTCAGGGCTTCTCTGGCCTTGTTTCCTGAGCCAACAGTCCTAGACTGGGAGCCAGCTTTCCTTTATTGTGACAAGGTACCCAAGGCAATCAGCTTATGAAGAGGAAAGATGTTGGGGGGGGTTTAGCCCCTTGCTGTCAGGCCCCCCAGTTCGGCCTGTGGTGGGGCAGCATGCCCTAGTGGAGCCTTGTGGCATAGGAAGCTGCTTGCCTCATGGTTGAGAAGCAGAAGGAACAGGAAGAGGCTGAGGCCCCAGCATCTGCTCCATGGACCCAACCCATTGACCTAAGTGCCTCCTCTGAGCTGTGATCTGAGCACTTGGAGGCTGAGGCAAGAGGGCCACCTGAGCCCAAAAGCTGGACTACACCGAGCTCAGACAGTCTCTGAGCCTATGGCAGGGCTGCTGAGGCCATGGGGAGCTGCTCCAAGTTCTCTCCCAGCACCCACAGGAAAAGCTGTGTGTGGGGATGACGCCTGGTTTTGGTACTTGTGCTGTGGGGTAGAGGCAGGAGGAGCGCTGGGGCTTGGTGGCCAGCTGGCCTGACTACTTAAACAGTTCTGGTCCAATGCCAGGCCCTAGGAGGAAAGCTAGGGTGTGATCTGCAGTGTAGGGCCTATTTAACATGTGAGGCCCAGAATTCCATCCCAGCACTGCAAACTAAATAAATTTGTGTACAAAAAAGAGTAAATGCTGATGTAGCCAAAAGAGTCTCTATCACCACCACCTTGGTTAGGTCCTGGCAGTCTGCAGACGGGAAGGGCTGCCAGCCAGTCCCAGTGCTCCAGCACCCAGAGCTGTAGCCTCTAGAACTGGGAAGTCCATTTCTTAGAGTGTCCAGGCTGCATGCCTTGTCAGGAGGCTGCATCTCTTGTCATCACTGGCAAAACAAAATACTTGGTTTTGAGGCAGGGTCTCAGGTAGCCCAGGCTGGCCTCAAACTCACTATATAGCCAAAGATGACCTTGAACTTTTGATCCCCCTGCCTTTGCCTCCTGAGTGCTGGGATGACAAGTATGGGTGCCTAACATCCAGGTTATGTGGTGCTGGGGATGGACCCCAGGGCCTCATGTGTGTCAGGCAAGAACTCTACCAACTGAGTCTCAGCCGGGCGTGGTGACACATGCCTTTAGTCCCAGCACTTGGGAGGCAGAGGCAGGTCTGGTCTCCATAATGAGTTCCAGGCCAGTTGGGGCTGCAGGGAGACCCTGTCTCAAAAAGACAAAAAAAAAAAAAAAAAAACTTTAAAAATGCCTCAAAATATATGAAGATCCAGTAAGATATATTGCAAACTTATCCTCTTAAAAAAATGGGGGGGGGGGTGCTGGAGAGATGGCTCAGAGGTTAAGAGCACTCACTGACTGCTCTTATGATTTTTTGGTGTTTTTGAGACAGGGTCTCCCTGTAGCCTCAGCTGGCCTACAACTCACTCTGTAGACCAGGCTGACCTTGAATTCACAGAGATTCCCCTGCCTCTGCCTCCCTAGGGTTGGGATTAAAGGCGTGTGCCACCGGGTCACACTGGCTACTCTTACAGAGGATCCGGGTTCGATTCCCAGCACCCACATGACAGCTATGAACCATCCATAACTCCAGTTCCAGAGCATCCAACACCCTCTTCTGACCTCTGAGGCATTGCTGGTCACGGGTGCACTCACATAATTAAAGGCAATACACTCATACACATAAAATAAAAATATTTAAGAGAAAAAATTTTTTTGAGAAGGGGTCTCCCTGTAGCCCCAACTGGCCTGGATCTCTCAGAGATCAGCCTGCCTCTGCACCTGAGTTTTGGGATTAAAGGTGTATTCAACATCGCCTGGCTTTCAAAAACCCTATTAATACATTTTTTTGGAAATGAGCTTTTTATTGTTCTTGGACTTGTGTTTGGTGGTGCTTAGGACCAAGATCTCATGCATGCCAGCGGACACTCGACCTCTGACTATACCCCAGCCCCCACTCCGCTTTTCTTTTTGATGTACCTAGATTGGACTTAAACTAGCAAGCCCCTGGCATCAGCCTTCCAAGTAGCTGGAAGGCTGTATTTGATCTTAGTTGTGTGGTCTGCCCTCCCTTTATCATTGCTCTTCCCTCCCCGCCCCTCCTTTGGGTTCCCTACCCCCCCCCCCCCCAGCAACCCCTGCTGTGTTGTCATTGGTCAACTGGCCAGACTTCACTCAGGGTTGGCATTAAACATACCCCCTTCCCAGGGAGCCCCGGACCCTCTGCCAGCACTGAGCCCAGCGCCCTGGTGGCCCACCACGCAGTCGCTCCGCAGCAAGGACTTACACTGCCCCAGTCTCAGAGTCAGCGATCCCGGGCAGGCGCTCCAGCCCGGCGAGCAGGAGGCGGCGCAGGCAGGCAGGACACTGGAGCCGGGATACTGTAGTCGGGAGGCAGGGCTGGCGGGACCGTGAGGGGCGGGGCCTAGGTCAGGGGCGGGGCCTGGGGCGGGGCGGGGTTCGGGGAGGGGCAGGGCTCAGCGAGGAGCCCAGGTCTGGGACCGGCTTCAGGGAGGGGTGAGGATGCGGGTTTGGGGAGGAGCAGAGACTAAGGGCGGGGCTCATGGAGGGGCACTGTCTAAGCTCCGGGACCCGAGTTCGATCCGCATCCTTGTCAAAAGTTGCTGCATATTGTAATCCCTGCTGGGAGGAACCCTGGGCTCGCTGGTCCTGTCTCAAAAAGTAGGGTGGAGGGGGCTGGAGAGCTCACTCAGCAGTTAAGCGCACTGGCTGCTCTTGCAGAAGACCCAGCACCCCCATGGCAGCTAATAACTGTCTACAATCCCAGTTCCAGGGGATCCGACTTCCATTGGCATTGCATGCACATGGTGCACTTAAATGCACTGCAGGCAAACTCATACACATTAAAATAAAAACCTCCCTTGGAGCTTAGAGCCTAGACGAGATAAAGGCAGAGAAGTGACCGATCAGAAGAGGAGCTGCCTGGGTGTAAAACTGAGTAGAACACTTGCGGAGTGTGCCGCTGGTTGGGGGAAATCTCTGCACCCCCAACCAAAACAAACAAAAAAAAAAAAAAAAAGAAAAATAAGAGCTTAATGGGGCCTGGGCTCTCTCCCTGAGGGGGGTGATGTGTAACAAGGCCAGAGGACACCAGGGACCACAGTAACATGGCTGGCACAGGCTTGGTATGAGGTCATTTGGGTCCATAGTTGAGAGTCTGTGCTGTGACAGGCTCTGGAGAGAGCCTGTGTTACAGCAAACCTGCTCACCTTTGGTGACCAGATAGAGAGGGGCTGAACCAGCAGCAAACCCTCTTCCGGACACACCCCTTGAGCACCCATTTCCTCCTAACCTGTCCATAATCTCCCAACAGCCCCTAAACTGCAGTTATTGATGGACACCAGCCTTCAACACCGGAGTACAGGCTGGCTCGAGGTTTGTGCTCTTGTCTGAAGGGCTGGGATCACCAGCCTGCACTCGTTTACATTGCTGCAGAGTATACCTGTCAGGGTTGGCTTTGGTTCTCAACATGACACATCTGGGAAGAGGGAATTTCCTCTATCTCCTGCAGGTCTGGGGTGTGTCTGTGAGGCATTTTCTTGATTGCTGAGTGACATGGGAGGGCCCAGCCCACTGTGAGCGGTGCCACCCCAGGGCAGTTGGTCCTAGGTTGTATAAGAAAGCAGGCTGAGCATGGGCTAGAGGAGCAAGCCAGTAAGCAGCCTTCTTCCATGGCCTGTGCTTCAGCTCCTGCCCTAGTTTCTGCTTGACTTCTCTCAATGATGAACTGTCAGTTGGAAGTGTAAGATGCAATAAAAATGTTGGTTTTGTTTTAATATTTTATGTGTAAGAGTGTTTTGCCTGCATGTATGAAAGTGCGCCCATGTCATGCAATGCCCAAGGAGGCCAGAAGAGGGCATCAGGTCCCCTTGAAGTGCAGTTAACGACATTGCTAGTCCCCTGTGGGTGCTGGGAACTGAACTCAGGTCCTCTGCAAGTGCAGCCAATGTTCTTAACCGCTGAGTCATCCATCTCTCCAGCCCCCCAAGTTGGTTTTGGTCAGAGTGTTTTATCACAGCAATGGGAAGCAAACTAATACAGTACCTTTGGGGGAACATTCCAGATCAAAACCATAGTCATCAGTCTAAAACCATTCATACTGAATTTAACTTGTGCAGAGTTACCCTTTGACATTTGGTTACGGGCCATACATATATAGTAGTTTTATTCATGATAGTATATCTGCGATAATTGCATCTAAGGGACTACTACTGAGTCACGTAAAAGAATCATTGGCAGGCTGTGCTGGCACACAGCTATGACTGAATCACTGGAAAGGAAAGCTAAAACAGGAGGATTTTGAGTTCTAGCCCAGAGCAACAACAATAATAAAAATCAGGCCGGTGAACGATGGTTCAGCAGGGAAAAGCACTTACCCCGAACACCTTAGGATCTGAGACATGTGGGCTCCTGAGGCAGGAAAAGTGTATTTGGAAAATGTGAATAAAGTGTGAATTAGTTGTGTGTTTTCATAGTGGTGACACGAAGGCTCTCAAGTCAAATATTTAATCTTTATTTTTTCCATTATTGAGTTGCTTTTCTATGGGTAGGTATGCACACACCACAGCAAGTGTGTGGAGGTCAGAGGGGAACTTGCAGGACTCAGTTCTCTCTGTTTCACCGTGGGGGTCCCAGGGATTGAGCTCAGGACATCAGGCTTGGCTCTAAGCACCTTTACTCATTAAGCCATTTCACTTGCCCTAAAGTAAAATGACTAAATATACATAGTAGCCATCAGAACCAAGTATCATTTAGGGTAGAACTGGAGGAGATCAGCACAAGGGGGTACGAGGGGAGGAGGCAGCACCAGGCAGGGTGCCCAGACCTTGACTCCCTGCCACAGCAGGATGTAGGAAAATGGTCAAGTTGGGGTATCTGAGACCGATGTTCGGGATGAAGAGATGGGTAGCTATTCAGATGTCCCCAGGCCTGTGGTCCGAGCTCCTGAGTGGGAGCCCTGGAGGCTGGTGATTTAACAGACCTGGCTGGGGTCACATGAGGCAGGTGTGTGTCCCTGAGTAGACGGTTGAAACAGAGCCACCAGACTATGTATAAGTCTTATGAAAACCCGGGGTAGGGGGTTTGGAGTGTCTCAAAATTGTCACACGGGGAGGGAAGATGTAGCTCAGTGATACAGCGCTTGCCTAGTATGTGCCAGTCCTGGGTTCCATTAATTAAGTGCATTATTTATGGGCAGAGCAGAGTTATTGTGTGGTCTCCAAAGCAACCCTAGCTTCTCTGATCTTCAGTACCCCTATTTGTAAAATGAGGCTCAACATCACCCCTTGTAGGGACCCTCCCATGAGCCAGGCACACAGTAGGTGCTCAGTAAAAGCTGCCCCCTCCTTCTTCCCTTTCCAAGGACTCTCAGGTGCACAGCAAGGAGAGTCCCCTGTCACTTTAAGCTATGCAAATGAACTGCGGGTGAGTGGTGCGGCTCAGCCAATCAGGAAATAGGGCTGATGAAGAGCCGCGGAGGGCGGGGCTTTTTCAAGACGGCTCCATTCGGGTGGAGCCGGCGGCGCGCTCTGCAGCGCGCGGAGAGGGCGGGGCGCGGGGTCTGGAGCGCGCGCAGGTGGCGGCGTTGCGGGTCGCAGAGCCTGGCGGTGAGTATCCCCCAGGGCGGAGCGGGAACCCCCAGATCCCTGCGTTCTGAACCGGGGTCCCCAGATCCCTTTATTCTAAGCCGAGAGCTATCTACAGGTGCCGAGCTGCAGAAACCGGGGCGCGGCTCCCTTCCATCCCTCAAACCGGAGCTGGGAGGTGGGGACCCCCAGGGCATCCCAAATTTCCCTGCCTATCTTTAGCCTGCAGACACCCCAGACCCTAAGATGGGGGACGCGCTTTTCTTTCTTTACATGTGGTTCCCCATCCCAACCTGGGAGCTGGGGACCCCTCTTTCGGCATGCCTGGCACGCACTGCAAAGGTGGCAGGTGGGGGCTTTGCATGGGCGACCTCGATGGGAACCCTGAGGCTGAGTTTCTGGGGAGGTCGGCGGTGTGGGGTCTTCTCCCTGGTTGGCCAGGCCTCTCCAGGCCTGGAGCCTGAACTGGGGACTCCTCTTGATCAGGGGGGCAGCAAACATCTGTTCCTAGGGACCAAAATAAGTCGAGGTAAATTAAGATGTGCCTGACTGGCTGAGGTGGGCGGTGAGTGTGGAGGAGACTGGGGGTGGCTGCCCCTACATTGGGCAGCTTTTGCTGGGACCTGCTGCATGGTGACCTTGGGTAGGTGACAGCACCTCCTTGACCCTCTGTCTCCTCTTCTGAAAATGGAGGGCCAGGCTGTCTGCCTCGGATTCCAGACATACCCTCCCCGTTTTTACCAGTTAGGGATCCCACTCTTTGGCCGAAGGTGGGCTGGCTTTGGGAGGGGGTATTAAGACAGACTCAGTGTATTGCACTTTAAAATGGGTTGACCCTGATGTATCCATCCCAGCCCTTGGGAGACTGAGGCTGGAGGATCAGGAGTTTGAGGCCAGTCTGGGCTACAGAGCTAGACTCTGCCTCTTAAAACCCATGAACAAAAACAAACAAACAAAAATGAGTTGATGAGCACATCTGGCCTTGCTGTTGGGGAGTGGTCCATCCCTACCCCAATAAAACCAGACCAGGCTGTGGTGAGAATAGGGGTTCTGTCATCCTGGTGGCTCCCCGAGAGGCTGCCCCGAGGCACACCCTGACCCACATACCATCACCCACGCCAGGACCCAGCCAGGTCCTGGGCGGGGTCCCAGGTGGAAGGCGGAGTGGACAGGCTGGCATAGCCCCTGTCCATTGGAGGGCAGTGAGGTGAGTCCCAGGCAGAGAGTCTGACATTTGTATCTGCCTCTCCCTGTGTGCCTCCACCTGGCTTTTGTCCTGTGAAATGGGCAGAAACCCTGTGTGGTGATCAGAAGTCATGTGGGCGTTAGGGCGCACTGTAAACACCTCGCTCCCTATGATATTAATTAGGATAAGTTCATGAAATGGGGTCACAGCTGACCAGGAAGTGAGAGGTCTGTGAAGGACATGATGTGAGTCCTCAGTACCCCAGGGGACTCCAGTATACAGCGGATACTTAATGTGTGTGCATCCAGAGAAGTGGCTCAGCTGGAGGGCTGAGGAATTCCACAGCATGAGTCATCTCGTGGCCTGGAGCCTAGGCCTCAGTTTCCCTGTGGAGTGCTGGCTGGGACACAGTGTCAACTGAAGCTGGGGGGGAGGGAACACTATGGGTTCCTATTTGATAGGCTCCCGAGGCTCAGAGAGGGCAGGCATACCTGAAGGTCCCCAGGAAGGGTCAAGGGCTACCAACAGAGCCCGCACACATCTGACACCAGGGGTGGGGGCTCTGGCTGGCATTTCTGCCTCTGTTGGTGACCCCCCATTCCATCTGCACCCAGCTAGGCTCACCTGAGCCCCAGGTTTGGGGGAGTTGGTGTTGGGGAACTGGAGTGTTGTGTGACCTTGGGCTGGTGTTTGTCTGTCTCTGGGCCTCCTCCTGGCCCTGTAGAAGCCAGGAAGGCCTGGATTGCAGTAAATAAAATGTCTCAAGCTCAGAGGGTTTTTAGGGGTCTGTGGTAGTATTTTTACTTCTTTTAAAATCAGAGGGTTAAAAAAAAAAGGACTTGGGGTTGAGGAGAATCTTTCAGTATTTGATATTACTATATCACCAGGCCTGGTGGTACATGATTACCAGCACTAGGGAGATGGAGGCAGGAGGATCAGGAGTTCAAGATCAGCTTCTGTCTGCTCTGTAGTGAGTTTGAAGCCAGCCTGGGGTACATGAGACCCTGCCTAAAACAAAACTGAATATAGTGTTCCTGATGTAATGCTGGAATTTCCCTTTGTCTGTTGAGGCTCATGCCTTTCCAAGTCTCAGTTTCCCCTCATGGGAAGGGTAAAGACTCCGTGGCTCTTATGCCCCAGTTATTCTGATTACTATCTGGGGAGGTCCCAGGGGTGTGGGACTTGGGGAGGTGACGGTTGACGGTTGGATGGCAGTGGGCGGGGGCTTCCTGCTTTGTCTTAGACACGGGCCTCCAGTTGGTGCTAGGGGAGGTGTCAGGCCAGGGCCTCCCGGTGCTGCTCCATTCTCTAAGGGCCCTAGCCCCAGCCCCGTCAGTGCCCATTGGTGAGTTTGACCCCAGCGCTCATCTTTGGCCCTCAGAACCGGAAGGAGCCTCAGAGCAGAGGTTTGGGAGGAGCAGCAGGTATCACTTCCTGGGCCAAGTCTGCCATCACCTCTGCCAGCTCCCCATGTCTGCCCTGGGCGGCGGTCCAGGCTGTGTGCTGTCAAGAGACCTGGAGACCCAGGGCTGCATGTGACCCATCAAGTAGGAGTTCTGGAGCAGCCAGCCCTGTGTTGCCGTCCTGAGGCTGGTGTCTGTGTCAGGCTGTTCTGTTTCCAGCTCTGCGATGGTGGCAATGTTGGTGGTGGAGTTGGGGGCTGAGGTTGGACACATGTGCAGGGGGGCTCAGCATGTCTTATGTGTGGCCAGGGGACTGGCCATCTCATTGGATCCATGAACTAGGGTGATGCCGGCGACTTCTCAGGAAATGGCACCCCGTGGCCGCCTCTTCAACTGGGTGTCAGACAGAAGTTTATCTGCCTTGTTCCAGCCCTACGTGGCTCAGGAGCCTAGAAAGGTGTCTGGTGTGTGCTGGCATGGGTGTGCAAGGGTGATAAATTTTACTTTGTTTAACATGAAGTTAAAACCTGAGACTAGCGGGTCCCCCACCCCACAGCACCGGTGAGGGTGTTCAGAGACCAGGAAGATGTGTATAGTGACTCCAGTCTGTCACTCAAGCACTTGGGAGACTGAGGTAGAAGAAATGCCATGAGTTAGAGGTCAGCCTGGGCTACAGAGTGAAACCCTGCCCCCCACCCCACCCCCAGAGAAACAATGAAAGAAAATAAAAGGCGGCGGGGGTGGGGGGGAGTCAAAAGCACAATATGGACATTTGGGGTTCTCCTCCCTAGGCTGTCAGCCTGGCCCCCCACCAAGTTAGGCTCTTGGTATTATCCAATCCAGGGTGGTGGTATATCCTGAAAATGAAATTCTTATTTGCCCAGTGAACTCCTGTCCTTACTTTAAAACCCAGCTGCTATTTCCCTCCGGTCAGTCCTGGCTCCCCTAGACTTCTGCTTTCTGTCTGGGAAACCCGGGCTAGATTAGGTGTATCCATGCCCCACTCTGTCAGAATAAGCTGACTTCTAGTAGGCTGGAGGGCACACCACTACAATACCAGCACTCTCCAGGCCAAGTGTGGCTACGTGGTGAGACCGTTTCCAAAATAACAAACTGACGCCTGGTGAGTTGATACACGCCTTTGATCCCAGCACTTGGGAGAGGCAGGTGGATCTCTGTGAGATGGAGGCCAGCCTGGTCACATAGTGAGTTTCAGGCCAGCTGGGGCTACATAGTAAGACCTTGTCTCAAAAAGACCAAATCAAACCAATGTAGAGGTAGCTAACTTTCAAGGTTAAGTAAATTGGGGCTTAGGGGCAGGCTGCCCCACAATGTAGTCTACTCATTTCCAGTAGGGTTGGGATCACCCTGGTCCTCTGGACAGTTTTCCCAAACCCGTCTGTCAGGAGGCCCCCTGGGCTTGGCTGCCGCCACACTGCCCAGTGCTCTCATGAACTATGAATGAGGCCAGCTCCTGTGACAGCCAGCTCCAAGTGTCCCTCCCCCACCGCATGACCCAACTCCCTGTGCAAACTGACCTGGGGTCTCCAGCAAGACCCTTTCTAGGTGATCTGTCTCCCTTTACAGATGGGGAAACTGAGGCACGAAGCTGAACAGTGACTCAGAGCCAGGTAAACAGTGACTTCTGGGGGGTGTTTGGGACTCACTGGGCCCCTGATGGTGGGGGAATTCTTTGTGAGACATTTCAGGACATGGCCCAGCAGGTACCCCAACTTTCCCAGCCCGTCAGTCCAGACTCTTTTTTCCATAGGGGGTCCCCCAGTTGTTCCAGCCAAGAGATCCACTGTCCCTTCCTGCTGTGAGACCTTGGCAAGTAGCCTCCCCTCTTGGGAAGGAACTCAATTTCCCAACCTGTCGAAATGGCTCAGAGCCCTTCTGTCTGGAATGGGATTCATCCAATACCACTCTGACCCTTGCCCACAAACTCCTACCTATACTTCAAAACCCTTCCTGTCATATCCCCTCCATCTCAGCCCCTGTCCCTCTAGTCCACTCCTGGCCCCATGAGACTGGGACAGGTGTGCACAGGTCTGTCTGTCCCCCTTGCCTACAGGACCGGGACTGAGGCTTCTCAGGGCCCTGACCTGCTCCCAGCCCTGGTGCTTTCCCTTGCTCCATGCTCTGTGCAACAGGTTGGAATTTCTCCTCTTCGAGTCCTTGTTGGTTATAACTCAGCCCCTCAAACTTGCCTCTTCAGACAGATACTGGGCAGGACCAGCAAGGGGTCTGCACAGAGGCCACCAAGATGGCGTATTTTGGGGAACATTTTTGGGTAAGACTTGTGCCTCTTATTTTATTTTTCATTTTTGGGGACCACTCTTGGTTTTATGGGGAGCTTCTGGAAGGACTTATGGTAATGAGGGGACTGGGCAGATAGAAGGCAGAGTTTAATCAGAGCAGAGGTTACCCTGTGGCCTTGGGTAAGCAAGTCACATACAATGAGCTGGAAAGCTCAGGCCTGAGTAGCAGATGTGTTCTGGGAATTGTTCAAGAGAAAAGTACAAAGTCTCATGTGGAGGGCTAACCTGGGGTCCTAGACCCGGGAGGCTGAGGCAGGAGGCAGAAGGATGGAAATTTGCAGGCCAGCCTGGGCTACAGAGAGACCCACTCTCAACAAAAGTACCAGAATAGAAACAAGTGCAGATTCCTGCCTCACACCTAAGCCAGACTGAACTTCCAGTTAGTTTCACCAGGGAAATTCCATCTTGGGAAGTTGCAGAGTTTCTTGGTTTAACCCCCTCAGCACCTCCGCTCCCCCTTACCGTCCAGGTTGGGGACAACCTGCTCCAAATTAAGACTAAGTCTGGGAGTGAGTCAAAGGCCCCGTCTGATTCCTGAGAGAGGAGTTTGCATTTTTGGGGACACAGAGCAAGACAGGATACCCGCCCCCCCCCGCTTGCAGGCACAGGCTGAACCCCATCTTGGGGGTCCCCAGCGAGAGCCAGGACGCAGAGGTGACCCTGAAGGCTGGTATTCCACAATGTGCAAAACCTACTCCAACCACAGCAAACAGCCTGGATCTGTCCCAGAGGTGTGAGGCATGGTGGCAGGTCACAGACCAAGGCCCTCGATCAAGCTGGGGAGATCAAGCTGGGGAACTGGGGAGCTACGGAGGATGCAGGAGCAGGAGAGGAGTCAGGGACACCAGGCTTCAAGGCCCCTTCCTCCCCAGCAAACCTACAGTTTAGTAAGTGGAAGGGGTTGCTAAGCAACCGGTTGCCCCTAGCAACAAGCCCGCTCCCTCCCCAGCTGGGCTCTCTTATTTCCCTTTGCTGTCTTAAAGGGACCGCGCCCCTTGCCACCTGCAAGGCTCGGGCTTCCCTTTTGGCTTCTAAATGGCTGTGTGACCCCAGGAGGTGCTGGCCCCCTCTGGGCTGCCTACAGGACCTCTCTCAGGGGCTGCTGCAAGAGAGGCAGAAATCACCCACAGTTTGGAACACCCACAGTAGCACCTCTGAATATTTACAGTGTTTTATTTCCCAAGGGGAAGATAATTCTGAAAGAGAAAATAGAAGCCACCCAACTCTCTTCCCATGCACCAAAGCTAGCTCAGCTGTAAGGGGAGGGCTCAGAACTCAGGTTTACTTTCCACCCTGCCCAGGGGCACCCTAGGACAGGGGCTCCAAGAGCATAAGTCCCCTCTGTGGGAGAGGGAAGTGAAGGAAATTTCTGTCTCTTGGGACATCTGTTCATGCCAGAAACATCTAGCTTTTTATTCTTTAAATGCTGGAGATGGAACTCAGGGCCTTTGCAGGGGCTGTATGCTTGTCCACACCCCAGCCCCTCTCTGGGGGATTCTAGGCAGGGTCTTTACCTCTGAGCCACGCCCCCAAGCCCCTCACTGGGGGACTCTACCTCTGAGCCACACCTCCAGCCCCTCATTGGGAGCCCAATACCTACTACTTTCAAACCAAGCAAGCCAGACAAGGATCCCTCAGTGCCATTGAGCCAAGGTATGGAAGACGCCTGGAGAGCACTGGGGAGGCCATGGGGGATGTAAGGAGCAGAGGGTAAGTTTAAGCCTGATCAGAACCGCCTCTGGCTCCTCCCAGACTCAACTGCCACCAGAGGTTTGATGAGAGACCCAGGCCTGACAGTTGGTCTTCATATCCTCAGCTGCCCGCCCACGCTGAGGGAGGAAGACAGTGCTTAGGCCTTGCCAGACCCTGGAAACAGGCCAGTGTTTGGCTCCGCATCAGCCCCAGATGCTGGCCTGGGTGTCAGTGCCTGGTGCAGCCTGGCCCAAGGAGCCCTTGTATCAGCAGGTGGGCTTAGCCTGAACTGTTTGCAGAGCCCTCAGTATTACCCAGGAGGTCTCTGTGTCTGGTAAGGTGCCAGACACATGTCACCTATAGAGCTGTTGTGTGTGGGAAGCCACCATCATCACCATTGGTCAGAAGAGAGAATGGGGCCCAGAGAGGTGCAGACACCAGCCTGAAATGGCTCAGAGCACAGAACTAAGAGAGAGAGTATACTCTGGCAAGGTGGAAGGTTAATGGTGACCCTTCAAGGATACTTGGCCTTTGAGCAGCCCTGGAGATGTGGAGAGATTTGTAAGTTCCTGACTGATCTGGTGAGGCCTGGAAGAATCCAGTAGATGAGGTGGTAAACGCAGGACACCCTAAGGATCTTTTGGGTCCCAGCAGCTAATGGACAATAGGGAGCTCCCAGTGACTAAAGAGAGGCTGGGAGATTTGGAATGTGAGGCTGAACTGGGTCAGCCCCAGTCTTGACTTCAGTTGGAAAAGTGGTTTGCATGCAAGTGTGACCTGACTGCCCATCCCCAGCAGTCAGGTAAAAAGCTGGATGTGGGCACTGTGGGCATGGTGGCGCACGAATGTAATCCCAGCACTTCAGAGGCAGAAGCGGAGGTAGGCAGATCTCTGTGAGATGGAGGCCAGCCTGGTCTCAAAAAAAAAAGATGGATTGAGAGGAGGAGGAAGACATGGGACACCAACCTCTAGCCTCCACTCCACTCACACTGGCGTTGGTTGTGGGTCTCCCTCCCTCAAAAACCTGAAAACAAAACAAAACAAAAAACCTTCCCTCTCACTGGACCAATCAAAGGTCTATGAAGCGATCCCTCTGACCAGCGGGAAAACGCAGCGTGCTGATTGGCTTAGGTCTGACCCAATCCCTGTAGCCATTCGCTGGCTGGTCCCCAGGCCAGTCTGTTGCTAGGTAACCTGAACGCACTGTTTCTTCCCTTGTTCCTTGCAGGGTGAGAAAAACCACGGCTTCGAGGTCCTTTACCATTGTGTGAAACAGGGGCCAGTGGCCACCAAGGAGCTGGCGGACTTCATCAGAGAGAGGTGAGCTGCCCCGGTCCCACCTCACACGCCCTCAGATGTGGGAAAGGCATCCTTATAGGGACCAAAGAACAATCAGGGCAGGCAGAAGGGGGCAGAGTCCTAGTCCTCAAATCCTGCAGGTCCTACCATCTCTATTATTGCTATTTTATTTATTTATTTTTATTTTATTTTGGTTTTTGTCTTTTTGAGACAGGGTCTCCCTGTAGCCCCAGCTGACCTGGAACTCACTATGTAGCCCAGTCTGGCCTTGAACTCACTGATATCCACCTGCCTCTGCCTCCCGAGTGCTTGGATTAAAGGCGTGCGCCACCACACCCGGAGGCTATTTTATTTTTAAAAATTTATTTCTGCCGGGCATGGTGGGGCACTCCTTTAATCCCAGCACTCTGGAGGCAGAGGCAGGCGGATCTCTGTGAGTTCGAGGCCAGCCTGGTCTACATAGTGAGTTCCAGGACAGCTGGGGCTACAGGGAGACCCCCGTCTCAAAAAGACCAAAAAAAAAATTTATTTCTGCTAGGTATGGTGGTGCATATGTTTTTTTTAAAAAAATTTATTATTTTTATTTTATGGGTATGCGTGTATTGTCTGCATGTATGTGAGTGCACCTGTGTCGTGCAATGCCTGGGGAGGTCAGAAGAGGCTGCCAGATCCCCTGGGACTGGAGTTATGGACAGTTGTTAGCTGCCATGTGGGTGCTGGGAAGACGTGGGTCTTCTGCAAGAACAATCAGTGTTCTTAACCGCTGAGCCATCTCTCCAGCCCCCAGTGGTGCACACTGTAATCCCAGCACTTGGGAGACAGAGGCAGACAGATCTCCGTGATATCAAGGCCAGCCTAGTCTACATAGTGAGTTCCAAGCCATATGGGACTAATAAGTATTTTGGGGGAGGGGTGCTGTGTCATGGTGCATGCATGGAGGTTAGAGGACAACTTGCGCTAGTCAGTTGTCTCCTTCCATTGTGGGTCCTGGGGAATCAAACTCAGGTTGTCGGGCTTGGTGGCAAGCCCCTTTACCCACTGAGCCATCTTGCTGGCCTGCATGCTGCTTTTTAAGCCCTGTTCTGGAGGTCTGATGCCCCCGCTTCCTGAACATAATATCATACACTTAAGTGAGGTTTTAAAATTCCATTGGATATCAGGTTGAAACAGTGCTGGTTGCAGATGAGTTGGAGCTCACCTGTGATTCCAGCCCTGGGGAAAGCTGAGGCAGGAGAATGACAGCATGTTTGAGGCCAGCCTGGGCCACAGAGCCAGACCTCTTAAGAAATAATATTACCTGACCAGGCATGGTGGCGTACGCCTTTAATCCAAGCATTTGGGAGGCAGAGGCAGGCAGAGCTCTGTGAGTTTGAGGCCAGCCTGATCTACATAGTGAGTTCCAAGCCAGCTGGGGCTACAGGGAGACCCTGTCTCATCCCCCCCCCAAAAAAATAACTTACCTAGTCTGGAGAGATGGCTCAGTGGTTAAGAGCACTGACTGTTCTTGCAGAGAACCCAGGTTTGATTTCCAGCTCCCTCATGGTGGCTAACAACTGTCCATAACTCCAGTTCCAGGGGATCTGGCGCCCTCTCCTGGCCTCCAGGGGCATTGCATAACATGGCTACCCTTATAAGCAGGCAATACACTTATACGCATAAAATTAGAAAAAAAAAATTACTTGAGGAAAAATAAAACTCTCCCATGATTTCCAAAATGTTTGCTTTGAGAGCCATGGTGTGCAGATAGGGAAACTGAGACCCAGGGAGGCACCTCGCCCTGGGGACCCCTGATCTTTCCATATTTGCCTTCCCCCCACCCAGGGCCAGCGTCGAGGAGACTTACTCCAAGGCTATGGCCAAGCTGTCCAAGCTGGCCAGCAATGGGACCTCCATGGGGTGAGTGTGATAGGGCCTCCACGAGGAGGGATCTTGGTGACCTGGAGGGCATCCCTGGGGCGAGGTGATGCCAGGTGTGCTGGGTGAGGACACAGGCTTTCAAGCCTGTTGGATGCAAGTGCTGGGCCTGCCCGTCCCCAGGACCTTCGCCCCACTGTGGGAGATATTCCGAGTTTCCTCCGACAAGCTGGCGCTGTGCCACCTGGAACTGACACGGAAGCTGCAGGACCTGATCAAAGACGTGCTTCGCTATGGGGAGGAACAGATGAAGACACACAAGAAGGTAGCAGGCCACAGGGGCACGGTGGCTCCCAGGACCCCAGGGTGCGGCCACTTCCGGGAGTGCAGATGAACCCTCCACACCAACCTGCAGCTGTGTGTGTGTGTGTGTGTGTGTGTGTGTGTGTGTACGAGCCCACAATTGCATGCATGCCAGGCCCAGGGAGGCGCTGGAGGATTCTAGGCAGGTTCTCTGTGCTGAGCCAGGCCTCCAGCGCCACTCTCCTACCCGCAGTGCAAGGAAGAAGTTCTAGGCACGCTGGATGCAGTGCAGGTGTTGGCAGGAGTCAGTCAGCTCCTGCCAAAGTCCCGGGAGAACTACCTGAGTCGCTGCATGGAGCTGGAGCGTCTGCGCAGAGAGAACACCAGCCAGAAGGAGATGGACAAGGTTTGCACAGGCAGCATGATCAGAGAGGGACAGCAGGTCACATAGTAGTGTGCTCTCCACGTGGGCATGGGGCCCTGGTTCCCAAGAGTCTTCCAGTCAGGTGCTGGCCTGGCAGGGTAGCAAAGCTGCCTGACCGTTGCCATGACAACATGGTCCATCCCCCCCCCCCCCCCCCCCCCCCCCCCCCAAAAAAAGGTTCCCCCCCCCCCCCCCCCCCCCGTGCCTCCAGGCAGAAACAAAAAGCAGGAAAGCAGCTGAGAGTCTGAGGCGCTCAGTGGATAAGTACAACGCAGCCCGCGTGGACTTTGAGACCAAGATGCTGGACTCTGCCTTGGTGAGAAGTGGGTGCCCATATGCTGCTGCACACTCCCTATGGGGATGCCTCGGTGCCTGGGCGTGCAGTCTGTGTCTCCCAGCTCCCAGGAGCCCTAGGACCATAGGCTGGGAACCTGGGCTTCCTGCTGCAAGTCTGTCATCCAGGCACCAGGGAGGTAGAAGCAGGAGGGTCAGGAGAGCAAAGCCATCCTTGGGTACATATGGAATTTAAGACCAGCCTGGGTAACATGAGACCCTGTCTCAAAAAGAAAAATAGAAATCTTATTTTAGCAGATTGTTTTTAAAGGTTTCTGAAATAGAAAAGCTCTTAGGTGGGTGGCGGAGGCTTCAGGCATGGCTGGATCAAGGTGTTCAAATGGTGTTACTAGAAAGTTGTGTCTCCCTGAGTCTTTCCTTTCTTCCTTGGGGCCCTCAGTCCCAGGGACACACATACATGCAGGTGTTTGTTCGTGGCAGAGCCAAGCCCACCCACAGCCTGGGGGGCGCTCTGCTTTCTGCAGTCAAAGTCCTAATGCAGAATCTCATTGGCTATTCCCTAAGTCAGTCAGTGCAGCCAGGTAGCTGGGAGGTTCTGATTGGCCAGGCAGAGGGGGCGTGTGACATGCCCCTCCACTCCCACCTCAGCGCTTTCAGGCCATGGAGGAAGCACATCTGCAGCACATGAAGGCACTGCTGGGCTCCTATGCGCACTCGGTGGAGGACACACATGTGCAGATAGGGCAGGTGAGGGGTCCGTGTGCAGAGGAAGGTGGGGGGCCATGTGCCTAGGGAGGCGGGGCCTTGTGCCGAGGGAGCTGGGCCCAGGGTCTGGGGAGGCCCGGCTCCTCACACCTGCCCACCCACCCACCCAGGTGCACGAAGAATTTAAGCAGAACTTAGAAAACGTGAGGGTGGAGATGCTGCTCCGGAAGTTCGCTGAGAACAAGGGCACCGGCCGGGAGAAGCCGGGTGAGCCCGGGCTGCTATGGGCGGCTCAGAGTGGGCGCTCGGGCAGGCCTCGGGACCTCTCCGATCCTGTTTCTTCTTTGGAAAAATGGGACTGGGGACAGACCTAAGTCTCCGCCCAGTAGGAGGCATCTGATGGCTGATCTTGTGTGTACACCTCATAGAGCCAGACCCCAAAGGGACGTCAAAGCGAGAGTTTTAGAGTCAGGCCTGGGCTGACTGTGACCTTAGTCCTGTGTCCTGACTTCTCTGCTCCTGTTTTCTTATCTTTAAAGTGGAGATAGTAACTCACTAACGCAGGCATGCTATGTCCCCATAAGGCCAGTTCTGTCCCCTTGTCTCTATGGCTCCCGTCCAGTCCCCCTTGCCCTTGATCTGTCCCAGACCTGCTCTCTTTCTCACACTCTCCATGACTCCGCAGGTGTGCTGTTGACCTGTCTCCTCATGTCTCAGGCTTCCCCATCTTCTCTCCCCAGGACCTCTGGACTTTGAGGCTTACAGTGCAGCAGCCCTGCAGGAAGGCAAGTACGTCTGGGCCTGGATGCCCAGGCTAGGCTGTAGGGTGAGGGAGGTGGAGGCAGGTCTGAACAGAAATCAGAGGACCTCAGACCTCAGCTGCCCCATTCCCCCGCCCCCCACACAGCAATGAGGCGACTTCGAGCAGCCAAGGCCTTCCGTCTCCCGGGACTCAGCCGGCGGGAGCCAAGAGCAGTCACGTAAGGAACTGCCCGGCCCTGACCCAGGCTAGCCCACAATCCTGCCCCTTGGCCCAGGCTAGCTCAAGAATATCCATGTCCCGGGCCAGCTCAATAGTACTAGTCTGGAATTCTCCCTTTTGCCCAGCTGACCCAGTGTAGCCTAGGTTGGCCCACAACCCTACTCCTTTTGCCAAGGCTAGCCCTCATACTCCCTGCTTCCTCAGGCTAGTTCCTCACTTGTGCAGCTGTTTTCAGAATGTACCTGGCTCAACTCCCTGCAGGTGCCCCCCCACACCCTCCTTCCCCAGGGTCCCTGCCTTGTGGGCTATCTTAAGGCAATGTGGTGGGCTACCCTTTTCTACATCTTCTCTGGGGTGCACAGGGCTTGGTGATGCTAACTTCTCTTCTTGTATTCCAGGGATGTCCCAGAATCTGAATCAGGGGTGAGTCTGGTGGGTGGGGCCAGGTTTACATGGGGTGGGCAGGGCTTCAGGGTTAAAGGTGGTAACAGGCAAGAGGGGCCCAGTTGGGTACTAGAATCAAGTCTCACCTCCAGGAGGTATCCCCGTAGGAGGGGCAGAGTGGCACCCAGCCTCAGTTTCCCCCTTGAGCCTGCCCACACCAGTGTTCAGGCAAGGTGGGAAGGTTACTGTAGGGAACCTGACCTTCCGCTCTCCCCAGGTGCCTCCAGAGGTGGATGAGGAAGGCTTCACTGTCCGCCCCAATGTGAGCCAGAGCAATATCCTGCTGGGAGTTTCCTGCCCTCTGGGTACCCGTGAGGTGAACCCCAATTGTGGACCATCGAATCCAGAAGCAGGCACCAATCTGGGGGATTCATGATGGAGAGGAGAATAAAAGCGGTGGGCTTTCCCTGGCAGAAACTTAGGAGGGCTTCCTGGAGGAGGGGGCACTGGTGTTGCGTTTAGTGGCCAAATAGCCTGGCCAGTTAGTTTAGCAAGCTTACAGGGTAGAATAAATAGTACAGGACCTTGGGTGGGGAGGGCATGTTCTGGTTCCTGATTGACTCCTTGACTGAGGCCCAAATACCACTGAGCCCTCACGCTTCTCATCCAGTGACTCTGATTTTGACGACGATGAGCCCAGAAAGTTCTACGTGCACATCAAGCCCGCCCCAGCCTGTGCTCTGGCCTGCAGCTCAGAGGCTGCTGCGGCCCAGCTTAGGGCCACCGCCAGTACTCTTATCCTCCCTCCAGGAGCAGGGGTGAGGTGGGGGAAGGGAGCCAGGGGTGACCCGGGGCCAGTTGGACGCAGCCCTGCCTGACACTGCCTCATCTATCGGCAGGGCACCATGAAACGTCACTCATCACGTGAGTAGCCTCTGTCTGTCTTGGTTTAGAAGGCATCCTTCCTTAGGCGGGAGCCTGGGCCTGGATGTAGATGGCTGTGGATTCAAATCCACTGCCTGTCCTTTAAAGCTCCTCTCACAAAATAGCATTCTTGTGGAAATTAGAAGCTGGCTGGGCAGCTGGGGGCAGGCAAGGATGGCAGAGCAGGTGTTCCCCTCTGCCAGGTTTGTGGGTCACCCTCAGCAGCTGGCTAGACAGCACCCAGCTCTGGTCCCTGGTGTGACCCGAAGCTCCAGACTGTGTGTCTTTCCTAGGGGATGCTGTTGGCAAGCCACAGAGGCCTCGGTCAGCCCCACGGACCAGCAGGTGGGTTCCAAGGGCCACCCCCTCCCTCCACACCCCTGCCTCGTGGTGCCTCGCGGTGGCCGAAAGATCAGACCTGGACACTTATTGTCTGCAGTATACTAGTGCTGTGCTGGGTCTCGGGGGCAGTGGCCTAGAAGGTTACCCCCTGAGAGGTTCTAGCGGCTCATTTCAGGAATTGCAGATGAAGCCGCCCACACCTATCATCCCAGCCCTCAGGCTGTGGCAGGGGGATGTTCATGAGTTCCAGGCCAGTCTGGGCTGCAGAGTGAAAAGTTGCCTCCAAACAGCGAAGAATCAAAAGCATATGCTAAGTGCCAGTGAAGTCAGGGAGACAGGAGGCGTGGCTTCCAGGGGTGGGTGGACCCTGAGGCGGGACTTCCAGCTGAGCAGGGAGCGAGGAAGTTGCTGGGACACAGCCCGAAGCCAGGCCCGGCGACCCACACGCGCGCTCCATCCGCAGCTGTGCGGAGAAGCCTCCGGCCTCGGATGAGCCGCTGACCAAGAGCCTCTTCGGGCCTCCGCTGGAGTCCGCCTTTGACCACGAGGACTTCACAGGTGTGGGGAGGGGTCACCGCCGGCGCGGCTGGGCTGCAGGGAGGCGGGGCCAGGGCTGCGTGGGTGTGGCCTTGTGAGTGGGCGGAGCGACAGAAAATGGCTTGGTGGAGGGGGCGGGGTCCAGCCGGACCCTGGTGAGAGGGGGCGGGGCTAAGGAAGATCCGCTCTGCTGGATACGGGTCATAGAGGGGAGGCTTGGCTAGGGTGGGCGTGTCATGGAGTGGGGTTTTCCTAAGATGGGAGGTGACGGCGGGGTGGGCGTGGCCTTACCACTTCTTCCCCCGCCCCCCAGGCTCCAGCAGTCTGGGTTTCACCTCTAGCCCGTCCCCTTTCTCGTCCTCGTCCCCTGAAAACGTGGAAGACTCGGGCCTGGACTCTCCATCGCACGCAGCCCCCGGACCATCCCCCGAGTCCTGGGTCCCCCGGCCCGGCACCCCGCAGAGCCCGCCCAGCAGCAGGGCGCAGCACCCCGAGGCCAGGGGCCGGCGAGACTCTCCACTGCGCCTCGCACCCTCACCCGGCCCCTGGGGGACTGAGGAGGGTGAGGGGGACGGGGCAGGGCAGGGCAGGGGAGTTCGGGGGTCCCCAGCCTCTCCTCCACTCCCCGTGAGCAGCGGCTCCTGCCTGTTGGGGTTTGAGGACTGAGCTCGCCCTGGGCAGCTGTCGGTCAGTGTCAGCGCTGTCCTCTCCTCTAGAGCCTGCTGCCCGCACCCGGGAGGGCCTGGCCGCGCCCCCGCGGAGACCCCGCTGCAGGAAGGCGTCCTGTCCACTTGCCAGGAGCAACGGGGACCTGGTGGGTGCCAGGGCAAGGCAGGCCTGGGCCGGGGCCCCTAGGCAGCTCTGGGACTCACGGGCTGACTTTGCTCCTGCAGTCCAGGTCCCTGAGCCCCTCCCCGCTGGAATCGTCCACCCCTTGCGTCGCCCCTGAGCGGCCCAGCTTCCCCACCCAGACAGGACTCGGTGCGTTGGGACAGCTCTACCGCTTGGGCTCTGCCGTGACTGGGATGGTGGGTGGTGGGCAGGCTGGCTGGGTGGGCCCCCTGTCTGACCCCTTCAGTCTACTCCACAGGCATCTCTCGAGGCCCCAGCCCGGTGGTCCTGGGCTCCCAAGATGCCCTGCCGGTGGCTGCAGCCTTCACCGAGTATGTACATGCCTACTTCCGTGGTCACAGCTCCAGGTATGAACCGCGGGCAGAGCACTGCCAAGGGTAGCCTCAACCTGTCCCAAGGGCATTGGCAGCCATGGAGGGTACTTGAGTGAGGCTGGGGATTTGGGGTGGGGACAAGTTAGGGTGAGCCTAGGAGCCAAAAACTGATTTTACATCCCTGGGGTTGAGATCCAATAGAAGAGATGTTAAAGTCAAACCACAAAGAGAATGTTAGACCCTAAATCCAAGCTAAGGATGGTTAAAAAACCAGAACCCACCTGTAGTCCCAGCACTTGGGAGGCAGAGGCAGGCGGATCTCTGTGAGTTCAAGGTTAGCCTGGTCTACATAGTGAGTTCCAGGACAGCTGAGGCTACAGGGAGACCCTGCTTCAAAAAAAAAAAAAAACCAAAAAACCAGAACCATTCTGGTTTGAGCTTCCTAGTGAATTAGGAGAAAAGGGATCTTGGCTGGAGTCGGGGATGGTAACTATTCTCCCTCCTTCCACCCAGAGTGGGGATTCATTCTGCCCAGGCAGGAATAGAAGAGGGAAAGATTGGATGCTGGGAACAAATGGGGTCTCGCTGACTGTAAGAACCCCGGGGAGAGCTCTGATCCAGCATCTCTCTCGGTTCCCCAGCTGCCTGGCTCGAGTCACCGGGGAGCTGACCATGACATTCCCTGCGGGCATCGTGCATGTGTTTAGCGGGACCCCACCCCCACCAGTCCTCAGCTTCCGGCTCGTACATACAGCCCCCATAGAGCACTTCCAGCCCAATGCAGACTTGATCTTCAGGTCCGTGGCCAGTGGGAGAGAGTCTCAGGCACGGATGGGCCCCTGAGGCACCGCACTCTGGATCCCCGCATTGCCTTTTGGGAATTGCTGTGTGGCGTGGGGGCAGGTGGCTCATCCTCTCTGAACCTTCGCTTCCTTACCTGTCCCCTCTCCCACGGGGGTGGGGGATAGCGCAGGGTTGGGAGGGCATATCAGAGGAACCATTTGTCCTCGTCTCTGCAGTGATCCCTCACAGAGCGACCCAGAAACCAAAGACTTCTGGCTGAACATGGCAGCTCTGACGGAGGCCCTGCAGAGCCAGGCTGAGCAGAATCCCACCGCCTCCTACTACAACGTGGTGCTCCTGCGGTATCAGGTGGGCAGGGGCAGGACGGGGCGTGCTGGCATATGCAAATCCAGAGGCTAAGTCCCGCCCACACCCTTGGCTTTGCTGAGTAGTGCGCTCTCCTGCTGGCTGCTGGCTGCAAGGTGTATTACCTTGCCGGGTGGTCACCTGTTCACCTCCTGGGTTACGGCGGGTGGTGTGGAGGGTGGGCCGGGAAGGTGAGCTGGGCGGCTGCAGAGCTGTGACACAGGGTCACGACATGTCCCAAGTCCCGCGTGTTGTCTCCTGTCGCAGTTCTCCCGCCCGGGGCCCGGGTCACTGCCCCTGCAGCTGAGTGCACGCTGGCAGTGCGGACCCACGCTCACGCAGGTCTCGGTGGAGTACAGCTACCGAGCTGGCGCCACCACCGTATCCACGCCGCTCACCAATGTCCAGATGTTGCTGCCTGTGGGGGAGCCGGTGACCAGCGTCCGCCTGCAGCCTGCAGCCACTTGGTGAGGGCCAGTGCCAGCCAGAGCCAGCCAGAGCCAGCCAGTGTTGGCCAGTGTCACCCAGAACCAGCCAGAGCCAGTCAGTGTCAGCTAGAGCCAGCTAGAGCCAGTCAGTGGCAGTTAGAGCCAGCCAGAGCCAGTCAGTGTCAGACAGAGCTAGCCAATGCCAGCCAGAGCTGGCCAGTGCCAGCCAGTGCCAGGCAGTCACCCCACAGTGCCCTGTGGGGCTGCAAACACACAGGCCAGCAATCAGGGGCTCCCAGTATCCTGGGGAATCTGTCCTGTCCTGCTCCTTCCACCTGCAGAGGAAACTGAGTCAGGGCCAGGCAGTATGAGGCTGGGCCACCACACAGGTGACTTAGGGGCCCAATTGGGCCCATGCTACCCATGTCTGCATGGGTGAAAGCCTGACCCTGCTTCTCCTGATGCCAGGAACATGGACGAGAAGAGGTTCATGTGGAAGCTTCCAGATGTTTGTGAGGCAGGGGGTGAGTCCTGGTTGTAATAAGGGATTCATGTTAAAATGGGAGAAACTGGGGGTGCACTGTGCCACGTGGCTTAAAGAATGAGAAGGGGCATCACAGAGCCAGGACCTGCCTCTGCTAAGTGCCTGTGGCAGGTGCTTCTGTCCATGCTCCAGGCCCAGCCGGCGAGGGGACTGCTCTGGGCTGCAGGGGTGGGATGGGGTACAGGCCCAGGGGGCTGTCCATAGCATGGTGAGGCTGACTCTAGGCCTCCCCAGGATCTGGCCACCTGTCTGCTAGCTGGGAGCCGCTGTCGGGGCCCAGCACCCCCAGCCCGGTGGCTGCACAGTTCACCAGTGAGGGGGCCACGCTGTCAGGTGTTGACCTGGAGCTGCTGGGGGGCGGCTACCGCATGTCCCTGGTCAAGCGAAGATTTGCCACAGGTACAGGGTTGGGGATGAAGATCGGGGGGTTGGGACCAAGTTGAGATAGATGGGGGATTGGGTGGAGATGGGGGCCAGGTGGAGATGGGGGGCCAGGCAGCCGAGTAGAACCCAAGGCCAGTCTTGTTGCTGCAGGGATGTACCTGGTAAGCTGCTGAGATGTAGTCAACGCTGCGTGGGGCCTGGTGCTCTAGGACCATCCTGCCCTCCCTCCTGCCCAATGCAGAGGTCCCCAGCTCCCCTAGGTCTGGACCCGATGAAGAGGAGTTCCCATCCCAGCCTGGCTGAGCCAAGACCCTTCCTCCCAACTCCTACCCCTCTCCCACAGGTCCTGGCCTTTTGATGTTCTTAAGTAAACATTTTTCTAACAAAATAGAAAGGAAAACTTTCCTGTTTTAAATGTCTCTTCTGCTGTCAGAACAGGAAGGAAGGCACGGGAGGAAGGTGAGCACTGGTACCCACGATGCACTGTATCCCCCAGCTCTCCCCCAGTACTCAGCCCACACTAGGTCATTCCAACTAGAACAAACCTCAGACCTGTGGACTAATAACTGGGCCAGTGAGGGGCTGGGGGTGTGTCTCAGAGGTAGAGCCCCTGCCTAGAATCCCCCAGTGAGGGTCTGGGGACGTGGCTCAGAGGTAGAGCCCCTGCCTAGAATCCCCCAGTGAGGGGCTGAGGGGTGTGACTCGGGTAGAGCCCCTGCCTAGCATTAGGAAGGCTCTGGCTTGAGGCCTGCCTCTCACTCTGATGCCTGCCATATTCTGCTAAGGGAGGAGGAATGGGTTACTTGGCTCCATCTTGCAAACTCGAAATGCCATTTCCAATGCCTTCTCCTCATCCAGGGAAATGCTGGAATCACGGGCAGTTTCAGCCACGCCAGCCCTCTCCCACAAGTGTTGACAGGCTGGTGGTGGGTCCCCTCCAGAAGATCTCTGCAGATGCCATGTGGCTGGTTGCAGTTGCTATATCACTATGTGATGCCTGGGGTACCACTGTCCCTAGCACAACCCTGCAGCACCCAGTTTTATCTGTCTTTGGTTCTTTGCCCGTCTGATAATGCTGGGAACAGGGCAGCTCCTGGTGGTGTTAATTTGCTCTCCCCCGGGTGCAGGGAAGGCAGGACACATTTTAAAACACAGGAGCCTTTTTCTCAGGCCTGACCTGCTCACCCAGTGGCCCAGAGCCCAGGGACATGTGCCTATCTGAGGAGGGTAAGTCCCTGTAATCAGGGTGCAGCCTCGAGGTGGGGTGTCTATACACAGTTTATGATGCCCTGGTCACTTCCACCTTGGTGACCCCAAAACCTTGGCTCTGCAGTGGGGTGAACAAGTGACCAATCAGCAAGCAGCCAATTGCTCTGTCATAGAGGCCAGCTGGACTGTGCCAATCATGTGAGGTTTCTTTTCTTTTTTCGGTCTTTTTGAGACAGGGTTTCCCTGTAGCCCCAACTGGCCTGGAACTCCCAGAGATCTGCCTGCCTCTGCCTTCTGAGTGCTGGGACATGTGAGGTTTCTTAAAAGTACAATGAAATTCAGTTGCAGAAATGGAACCTTTTTTAAATTTTAATTATGTGTATGAGTGTATTGCCTGTATGTATGTAAGTGCACCTGTGTTGTGCCATGTGTGCCGAGGTCAGAAGAGGGTGTTGGATCCCCTTGAACTGGAGTTACAGCTGGTTGTGAGCTGCCATGTGGGTGCTGGGAATCGAACCTGGGTCCTCTACAAGATCAGTCTGTGCTCTTAACCATTGAACCATCTCTCCAGGCCCAATGGAGTCATTTTTATTTTAAGGGTGCCATTCTTTAAGAGAACCCTTCAGTGGATTCCACTTAGGCACCTTGTCTAGTTCCAGAACATTCCATTTCCCAGTCTCCTATCTCCATCAGCAGCTATTCCCCATCCCCTTCCCAGCCCCTGGCAGCCCCAATGTGCTTCCTGTGTTTCATGTGAAGGTGAACACACTAAACATACGCCATGCAAACTTTCATGTCTGACAGCTGGCACCCAGTACCTGTGGGTGCTTTGTACTTTTTCATGACTGACGCTCTACCACCTGGGTGGACAGTTGTGTTTCCAGTCAGGCTGCTGTGAAGGCCAGGGCCAGAGGGACCTGGGCACCCTTTGGGGTTCTCTGAGAATTACTGCTCTGCAGATTGAGGAGTTCTGCGTCTGACCCCCGAGTCTGTCCACTGAGTCCGGGGCCTGTGCTGCTTCTAGCTCCCCTGACCCGCAGCACTTTCCCTCCAGCAGGCTCCCAGGGCCTCAGACTCAGAGTTGGGATATATAGTTTCTGGGGTGAGTTGGGAGGAGGGAGATGTACAGGGGATCCCGGCATTGTGGGGAGCCAGCCAACAGAACAGATTTTAATGTTCTGAAATCTTCAGTCTCTGGGATCACCCTCCTTCCAGCAATACTAATTGATTGGCCTAAGAAGTGGCCAGGAGTTCACTCCCCCACCTTATGAAGTAGGAAGGGAGAGGAGGGAGCTCCTAAGTGGGGGGGTGGGGGGTGGGAGAAGGGGCAGGTAGAGTGGGGTGGGGATGGGGGTGTCCACTGAGTGGAGGGGCTGGGTCAAGGTGAAGAGGTGTGGCCTGGGCAGGGGAGGTGCTGTGGGGGAGTTTAGATGCTGAACCAGACAGAAGTGGGGTCTGTTGTTTTCTTCACTTTTTCTTGTTCTTTTATAGAGAGGTGGGATCTGGAAGGACAGGCAGTGGGATGGCGTCACAGCCTTCTAGGAAGGACATATGGGAGGGGTGCGGCCACAGTGGAGGAACTGGATGGAGAGGGGTGATGTCCTGGATGGAGTAGTCTGCCCTGGGGGTTAGGAGTGGGAGGGACCGGATGACTTTCTCCTTGGCTACTAGGAAGCTCTTGAGGCCGGAGGAAGGGGAAAGTACAGCGAGGTCGAGGTCGGGAGGAGGGTGGAGGGGGCAGGAAACCGCCAGGCAAGGGCGGGGCGGTTGTCCAGGTGGAAAGCGTGCTCCTGCTCCGGGACTGCCTCGCATCTGAGCCGGTGGACAGGAGGTGAGTGCCAGGGTCTCTGAGGTGGGCACGAGGTGGGGACGGGGGTCTCCGGAGCCACGGAGCTCCAGCGGCCCCGGAGCTGGGCTCTGAAGCAGGGTGGTCCTCAGCGTGACCCTGGTTTCCCAGCCCTGGATACTGGACTGGGACACTGGCCACCAGGGACACTGAACCGACCTACAGGCAGGAGTCCCACCCCAACTCCCGAGGGCTCTCCTTTCTTTGAGGGCTCACCATATTAGCAAGGTCTGAATCTGCCTCAGTTTCCCCATGTATGGAGGCCAGCGGTGAAGGGCGAATTGGGTAAAGGAGCAGGGGCCCGGCAGTGGGTAGTCATCTATCACCATAGTTAAATTAAGATTGTGTCGGTAGCTGTGGTTCTGAGCTTCGGGGTGAAGGGTTTTTGTTTGTTTCTTTTCTGTCACTTCCTTTACTAAGATTTTAACTCTGCATCCAGGCTGATTTGAACTTTCTCCCCTCCTTCCTGGGTGCTAGGTGGTAAGGCTGAATCTAGGGTTCCACTCTTCACCCTGTCCTGTCAGATTCTGGGATCGTGGCTGCTGCCTGAGGAGTCTGAGGGAAGGTGTGGCCTATGGGGGACAGCAGCTGGCCCCCTCCTGGCTTCAGTGTTTGCCCAGCAGGGCCCAGCCCAGATCCCCTCTCCGGGATGGGGCCCTTCCCCTCAACAGCTCCAGGTGGTGGAGATTCAGGAAGGGCCTTGCTCTCTGTCCCAGGTAGAGGACAGGCTGGTCCTGGAGCCTCCACCCTCACTGGGTGATCTCTCTCCAGCCCCCTCTGAGGAAGTCCAGAGTGTGATAGGACCCAGCCTTGGCTGCCCCAGGAGCCAGAGGTTTATCCAGAGAGAACCCCCTCCTGCTGGGAGTCCGGCTTTGCCTGATTGCCTTATCTACTGGGGGGCTCACTACCAACACAGACAAAGCTCCTACTCCAGCTAGCTTGACTGTGCCTCAGTTTCCCTCTCCGTAAGGAGGGGCCAGCATAGCCTTTGACTCCCAACATGGTGTGACTTTTGAGTGGGGGTGTAGGGACAGCTGTTTTGTTAACTTTAATCCTCATTATATGAGGCATTTTGTCTGTGACTTTTTGAGGGGAGGGGATCTTTTTGAGACAGGGTCACCCTGTAGCCCCAGCTGGCCTGGAACTCATTATGTAGACCAGGCTGGTCTACATAATGAACTCAGGTAGATCCACCTGCTCTGCCTCCTGAGTTCTTGTCTGTGACATTTATCTTTGCAGGAGAATTACTTTGATTATTGTTAGGTCTTACGTAAAATCCTGGGAGAGCAGAGGAGGGGGCTGGGGACCTGCCTGAGGGGGGTGGGGTCTAGGGTGTACCCCTCACCAGCTCTGGTAATGGGAGGAGCACACCCCACCTTCTCAGCCTCAGTTTCCCCACCTAGGAAGTGAGGTCAGGCTGGACCTGAGGGGGTCCCAGATGCTGGCACCCACCCTCTGGCATGTCCCTCAGTTCCTGGAACGGGGAGGGTGCCCTGTAGTGAATCATACCACAGGGCAATGCAGCCTGGACCAGGAAGTGTCCACGTGAAAGGGGGAGGGGGCTGCTGCTCACCCATGATCTGGCTGGGCCCAGCCCACCCCCCAGCCCAAACTACCCCCGCCCCATACATGGGCTATTCAAAGCATTATCTTTACTGGAATTTTCTTCTTTTCTGATCATAAAAGTAATTGCCCGCTCCTTGTAAAAAGAGACGTGCCCATCCTTATCAACCCCAAGCTGGTACGATCTGGCAAGGAACCGCCCTCAAGTCGGGCCAGGGCAGGGCTGCCATCTGGCTTGCCCTGCCCAGTGTGGCTCTATGTGACCCCAGGAAGGTGGGCACCATCCACCGCCTGGAAACTGAGGCTCCAGAGACTGTCAACAGAGAAAACGCTGACCTGTCTGTGGAGCCCACACTTGGCTTTGGGGCACACAGAGGGGATCTTTCCAGATGCTTCCATCATCCCCCCTACTTTCCACTTTGTGGGAAAACGTTCTAGAATGTTATAAGCATGCCCCCGGAGTGTTCTAAGCGCCTCTGTGGCACGCCCCTGAAACCCCCAGGACCTCGGTGGCCTTCTGGAGGCTGGTACATGGTCAGCTGAAGGGACCTGTGCAGAGCCTGGAAGCTCATGAATATTCAGTGCCAGTGGCTGTGAATGGTCATTGGGTCATTAATACGCACCAAAGAAGTACTTAACAATGTCTGAGCCACAGTTACACAGACTTATAAATATGCAGTGATTCCTTAATAATGTCTCATTAATATTTACTGCATACCTATGAAGCAAGGCCTCCTTAATAAGTGTTTAGATCATTAATATTGAGTGTGTGCTGTTCAGTATTCAGCAGTCATTAATATTCAATGTGCACAAATTTATGGGTCAGCCGTCCATTAAACAGCAGTAGTCAGCCTTGTTAATGGTGTCCATCACTAGTCATCAGCTCCTTCGTAGACAACAGTTTATTAATACTAACATTCAGTTAATACTTAGAGTCATTAACACTCAGTAGCTCATTTTCAGTCAGAAAGCCCTAACATTCATTAGCTTGCTAATGTCCAGTGCGTCGCTAACAACGACTGGTTATTATTCATAGATCCATTTGCATTCATCGTATCGTTTGGTATTCAATCTAGAGCTTTTTTTTATTTATTATTTTTATTTTCTGTGTATGAATGTATTGCCTGCATGTATGTGAGTGCACCCGTGTCGTGCAGTGCCGTGGAGGTCAGAAGAGGGCGTTGGATTCCCCTGGAACTGTAGTTAAGGACGGTTCATAGCTGCCATGTGGGTGCTGGGACTCAAACCCAGGTCCTCTGCAAGAGCAGTCAGTGCTCTTAACCGCTGAGCCGTCTCTCCAGCCCGTTTTGTTTTGTTTTGTTTTGTTAGTTTTTTGAGACAGGATCTTTCTATAGCCCCAGTTGTCCTGAAACTCACTATGTAGACCAGGCTGGTCTTGAACTCACAGAGATCCTCCTGCCTCTGTCTCCAGAGTGCTGGGATGGGCTCTTAATAGTGAGTGTCCAGTGTACACAGTAAATCATGAGTATTCAGAGATTATGAGTATCTGGTGTCTGGAAATTGGTTTTTGAGCTTGTTAACGTGCATCAGAACAGTATTAATATAAGCCATGCATAGAGATCCTGGCTTCTGGGGCTGGTCTTTTTGTGTTGTGTATGGTTCTGAGGCTAGAACCCAGAGCCTCTGGTCTGCTGTATCAGCTCTACCTGTGAGCCATGCCCAGCCCCTCACTGGGGGATTCTAGGCAGAGGCTCTACCTCTGAGCCATGGCCCCAGCCCCTCACTGGGGGATTCTAGGCAGAGGCTCTACCTCTGAGCCATGGCCCCAGCCCCTCACTGGGGGATTCTAGGCAGAGGCTCTACCTCTGAGCCATGCCCCCAGCCTGCTTCATCTTTTCCTTTCCGTTTGGTTTTTTGGTCTTGCTCTGTTGCTAGTTGGCCTGGAATGCGCACAGATCTGCCAGTCTCTGCGTCCCGTGTGCTGGGACTAAAGGCCACCACACTCAGCTTGCTGCTTTTGTCATCTTTTTCTTCCTTGGTGCTGAGTCTCAGCCCCTCCTGCACACCTGTTAGTGTCAGCAGTTCCCTTGGAGATGCTGAGTCTCCCCAGCCAGAAGTTTCCACTTCCAGGACAGTGGAGGGTGGGTGGGGGGTGGATGGCTGCTGTCACCTGTCATGGTGAGAGGTTCAGCTGCAACAGGGGGAAATGCTTGTGCCTAAGTTTTCTTCTTTCAGTTTCATCTGGCCCAGAGCTGGCTCTGGGGCTCCAAGCTTTCTGGGGAGGAGACAGGGTGGGTCCCTTGAGTGGCATGGTGGGGACTGGGCCTGGGTGACTCAACCTCACCCTGGAAGGGCTCTGAGGAGATGGGGGTTGAGCAGAGAATGACGATGTAGAAGGAGCTGGAAGGAAGACTCAGCAGTGGGCAGCATGTGCAAAGGCCCTGAGACCACACACTGCTGGCTCTGGTGGGTATGGCTGGGACAAGGAAGCCCAGCAGGACTTGGGGGGCCCACCAGGCCACACCCCTGCAGTCACTCCCCGGGGAGAGGCCCTCGGCCCCTAGCCAGTGAAAATAAGTGACTTCCTTGACTATTAAAGGAAGTCACTGTGAATAGCAACGTGGCACAAACAGCCTTGGGCAAATCTGACTGGTTTGACAGTGGGAGGCAGGAAGGAGTCCCCTGACCTTCCTGCTATGATGTTGGGCTCACACCTTCGGACAAAAGCACCTTACTGGGCGCGTGTGCCCTCCCTGGGAGGGGATACACATGCACTGAGTCTCCTGGTGCCTTCAAGGTGACCCTACCCAAAGGCTCAGAGGCTTTGAAACTTCTGTTCCCCTGATTTCCTCCAGGGTCTGCAAGCCCACTGGCTTTCTTTCCTGGCCCAGGCCCCAAATTATCTGTGTGCATATGCACGTGGAGGTTAAAGGACAGCTTCTGGGGTGGTTCTCTCTTCACTATGTGGGTCCTGGGATTGAACTCGGGTCAGATCCTCAGACTTGGCAACAAGTGCCTTTACCTGATGAGCCATCTATCTCACTGGCCCTCACACAGGAAACTTACTGTCCATTTCCTGCCTCCATGGTGACCATGGCTCCCCACTATATCTCACATCAACTTAAGATGCTCATTTTAGACTGGACATGGTAGCACATGTCTTTAATCCCAGCCTTTGGGAGGCAGAGGCAGGAAGATCTCTATGAGATCTAGGCCACACTGGTCTATAGGGAGTTCAAGGCCAGCTGGGACTATAGGGAGACCCTGTCTCTAAACGAAAACAAAACAAAACAAAAGCTCACCCTCCCAAAATTCTCCATTCCAGTAAACATGGCTGTCTTGGTTCCTTGGCTGGACCAGGTTTTTCCCTGTGGTTTGGCAACAGCTTGACTCTGCCACGTGAATGGCCCTGTTGAACTCCTATGCACCGTGCAAAGCCTCACCCTCAGTATCCCAATCCCTTTTGTTTGGCTCCATCCCTCACTCCATAAGTGCCCCTTGGTACAGGACCTTGTCTGGGACAAAAATACCCAATACATGTATTTGTTGAAGGAAGGAAGGAATTTCTTTTTTCTTTTAAAATTTGAGACACGGAGCCAGGTATGGTGGTGCATGCCTTTAGTTCCAGCACTCAGGAGGCAGAGGTAGGTGGATCTCTGTGAGTTCAAGGCCAGCCTGGTCTACATAGCAAGTGTCAGGCCAGCTGGGGCTACATGTAGACCCTGTCTCAAAAAGACCAAAAAAAAAAAAAAAAAAATTGAAAACAGTCTTCACTATGTAGTACAAGTTGGCTTTGAGCTCACTATGTCCTGGTGGATGAACTTGAAGACTTCCTGCCTCTACCTAGGCATGCTGGGATGATAGCTGCCTCCCTACACCCTGACTCAACCCCAGGCTAGAAGGGGCTGTGTTATAGTTTGCCTTCAATTGCTGTGGCAAAACACTCTGACCAGTACCAACTTGGGGAGGAAAGGGTTTATTTGGCTTACAGGCACAGTTCATCATCAAGGGATGCCAAGGCAGGAACTCAGGAAAGAAACTGCCGCACAGACACAGAGGGGTGCTGCTTACTGGCTTGTTCCTTTGGCCGTTGCTCAGCCTGCTTGTTTGCTTTCTAAATTATTTTTTATTTTATGTGTATGAGTGTTATGCCTGCATGTATATAAGTGCACCCACGTTGTACAATGTGTCAGATCCCCTAAAACTGTGGTTACAGACGATTGTTTGCTGCCATATGGGTGTTAGGAATCGAACCTAGGTCCTCTGCAAGAACAGTCAGTGCTCTTAACTGCTGAGCCATGTCTCCAGCCTCAGCCTCCTTTCTTATCCAACACAGGCCCACCTGCCCAGGGGTGGCACTGCCCACAGTGGGCTGGGCCTTCCCACATCACTTAACAGTCAAGAAAACGCCCCACTTCCATGGCCACAGGCCAGTCCAATGGAGGATGTTCCTCAATTGAGAATCCCTCTCCCAGGTGTGTCAAGCCGACAACCGAAGCTGCCGCCTGCCCAGCTGCTGTGGCCACAGTGGCTCAGCACCCCTCACAAGCCCTGGCATCGGAGTGGGAGTCCAGCCCCTCTAGCGCAGGCACTGGCCAGGACAAGCCTGAAGCTCCATCTAGCAGGCCCAGTAAGAGCCTGTGGTTCAAAGGGCGGAGCGTAGGGGTTCTCTCCTCTGCCAGCCCTGATGAGGTTAAAGATGTATATTTTGACAGATGTGAATCATGTGGGTGTCTTGGCAGAGTAAGAAGATGTTGACTGCATTAATGGAGGCCTAGCAGACAGTGAGGGAGGTAAGTTCCTCCCCCCTCCATTTAAGTTGTTCAAACTTAAGACCCTGAGTGCCTACTAAGTAGATGAATGAACAGGCATAAATGAAAAATGACTTTCAGGTGTGGGTTTGGGGTCAGGTTGTTGAGCATTAAATCCACCACTGAGAGTAACTGTTAGGCTGTGGGGAGAAGATGCCTACACAGAGCCCTGAGGCAGAAGGACCCACAGCACTTCCACACAGGGCCCATTCTCAGTTCACCTGGAGATTCAGAAAGGTGGAGTCCCTTTGTCAGACACACAGCTGAACTTACACTGTGGAATTAGAGTCTATTTCATGGCTGTGCCACATCCCTGGTCCAGGACACTTTGGCAAGGCTGGGATGAGCACTCAGCCTCCTGGGTGAGCAAAGCTCGTGCTTTCCGTGACCTGGTGCCAATCTTTGACTCCAGTAAACCCAGAAGCTGGCACGTTTCCCAGACAGAAGGGTGGAGAATGCTCGCTGGATGCCAGTTGGTAGAAACCCTTCACGAAAGGAGATGCTGTAGATGCCCCTCTACACCCTCAGAAACCAAGGCCGAGTGTGACAGGGACACAGCTGGGGTATGCTCCGACTGACTGGTCTGTGAGGATCAGGAGCTGTGTTCCAGTTAAGCCAGAGCAGGCATGTGTAGGGTTGCTAACTGGAGTCTAACAAGAGGCAGGGGTGGGGGGTGAGCAGGAAGTCAACTTTTAAGGCTTTGCCAACCTGAGTAACTGTACATATGGTACTGATTGTCGGAGTCCCTGGCGAGCCTCGGGTACCCACTGCTTCCTTGACCCTTGTTGTAGGATTCCCGCGGGACCGTGTCTGAAGTAGGGGCCCCAGACCAGCCAAGATGCGCCTCTTCCGGCCGCTGCGACCCGACCTGAGCCTCTTTCTGGCAGCGGGCGCACTCATCCTCCTGTTTCTCTTTGTTGTACGCGTGTCGCCCCCCGGCTGCCCAGCTCCGGAGCGACCCCTAGAAATCCTCGAGGTCCCCACATGGCCCGTGCCCCGTGTGCACCCGCCACCGGCCCCATGCCGGGCCAACTTCTCTGTGGCCGCGCACCCCGACTTTGCGGAGATGCCTGAGCGCGTGCGTGACTTCCTGCTCTACAAACACTGCCGGAACTTCCGGCTGCTGCAGGACCCTCCCCCCGACAAGTGTGCGGGCTCGGTATTCCTCCTGCTGGCCATCAAATCCTCTCCCCGGAACTACGAGCGACGCGAAGTGGTGCGCAACACGTGGGGCCGCGAGCGGCAGGTGCGGGGGGCCCGGCTGCGGCGCATCTTCCTGGTGGGCACCGACGGAGACCCACACCAGGCTTTCAAGGTCAACCGGCTGCTGGAGCTGGAGGCGAAGACATACGGGGACATCCTTCAATGGGATTTCCAGGACTCCTTCTTCAACCTCACCCTTAAGCAGGTGAGTGGGGCCTGGAGGAGAAAGCCGGGGTGGGAGGGAGCGCAAGGGAGCTGGAATTTGAGTATGCATAAGAGTTCCAGGGACAAAAATGAAAAAAGTTTGCCAAAAAGTGAATTTACTTTTTTGCTGTTTGAGATGGAGTCTCACTATGTAGCGCTGGCTGGCCTGGAACTCACTATGTAGACCAGGCTGGCCTCGAACTCCACTTGCCTCTGCCTCCCAAGTGCTGGGATTAAATTCACTTTAATTCATGAATTCACAGTTTGGTGTGCTGGGCCCCTCAATCCCTCGTGTCCCTCCCACATTATACAGGTCCTTTTCCTGAGCTGGCAGGAGAGTCGGTGCACCAACGCCAGCTTTGTGCTCAACGGGGACGATGATGTGTTTGCACACACAAACAACATGGTCACCTTCCTGCAAGGCCACGACCCTGACCACCACCTCTTCGTGGGCCACCTCATCCAGAACGTGGGCCCCATCCGTGTGCCCTGGAGCAAGTACTACGTGCCCAAGTTGGTGACCGCCAACGAGCGCTACCCGCCCTACTGTGGCGGCGGCGGTTTCCTGCTTTCCCGGTTTACCGCTGCCGCCCTGCGCCACGCTGCGCCCACCCTGGACATCTTCCCAATCGACGACGTCTTCCTGGGCATGTGCCTGCAGCAGCAGGGGCTGGCCCCAGCCTCCCACAGTGGAGTGCGCACAGCAGGGGTGCAGTCGCCCACCAAGCGCCTGTCCTCCTTTGACCCCTGCTTCTACCGAGAGCTGCTGCTGGTGCACCGCTTCCAGCCGTTCGAGATGCTTCTCATGTGGGATGCGCTGAGCCGACCTAACCTCACCTGTGGACAGCAGGGCCGCGTCTACTGAGGCCTGACGGTCAGCATCCCCTGGCTCCTGGCCTCCAGATCATGGGAATTCCTGCAGATCCTTCAAAGTCTACTTGGTACTTAGGTCACACTGGGCTGTCTAGATTCACCTAAAGGAAACGGAATAGCACCACACCAGCCTGCAGCAGCTGTCCGGGAGCCCAGCTTGGCTGTGTGTTTGTTGGGGGAGGTCAGCTCAGCCTCTGGGGAGCCAGCTCAGCATGGGGGTTTCAGCTTGGAGCCTGGGTGCTGCTGGTCAGCCAGGCCTTAAGAGCTGGAGCTCTGCCCAGAGTTCAAGGCCTGCCTGGGAACTCTTGAATCCTTGTACAGCTCAGCAAAAAGAGTTTTACCCTTGAGCCCCTGTGGGTGGTGAGAGGGGCCACCATAGGCATGGACTGGGCCTCTGCCCTTCCTCAGGTTCTGTGACCAAGGCCAGAGCCTCCCAGACTTCGGAGCTCAGAGATCTTGGCGTTCCCAGCAAGACTCAGATCAGTCTCACACTGTCGTCATCGTCGTAGTCCCGTGCCGCCCCCCCCCCCCCCCCCCCCGATGGCCTCAGGACACCCAGTAACTCAGGGAACAGCTCAGGGATGGGAGGGGTTACCCCCCTATCCATACAAGTAGGGATCCTAGGTCTTGCAGATGCAGGGCTAGAGCAACCCCAGGCTCCCTGTTGCCCCTGCACTCTGTGTCTCTGCTCAGGTTGTGCAGGCCTGGTTGTAGTTGGGGTAGAGGGAAAGAGATGGGGAAATAAAGATGTTTGCAAAAGACTGAAGATACTTTGTGGTGCTGGAGACAGAACCCGGGGCCTCATGGGTACTGGGCAGGCACTCTTGCCACTGAAACCACATTGCCAGCCCCCTTTTATTTTATCTTTTTACAATTTTTTGTTACATTTGTTATATGTGGGTATGTGTGTATGTGGAGGTCAGAGGACAACTTGCAGGAGTTGGTTCTCAACTTCTCTTATGTGGGTCCTGGGGATCAAACTCAGGTCTTCAGGCTTGGTGGCAAGCATCTTTACCTGCTGGGCCATCTCATTGATCCTCTTTTATTTTTAGAACTGTTCACACATCTTAATATAGCCAGTTCTACTCCATTCTCTTTATTTATTTATTTATTTATTTATTTATTTATTTATTTATTTATTTATTTATTTATTGTCTTTTTTGAGATAGGGTCTCCCTGCACCCTAGCTAGCTTAGAATTCACTATATAGACCAATCTGACCTCAGTCTCACAGATACACCTGCCTTTCCTCCCAAGTGCTGGGATTAAAGGCGTGCACCACCATGCCCAGCAGGACATTTTCATATCTACACAGCTGGCTGTGCTTGAGTCCTGTCCCCTTCGATAACCCCCCCTTCATCCTTTCCCCAATTCCACACCAGCGGACACTATGCATGAGGCTGCCAGACAAATGCCTCACTCCAGCGAGACCTCACCCCAGTGAGGCCTCCTCACCCCGGCGAGGCTCCCACCCCTCCATAGCTCCCTACTGCTCTCAGCTCATGTCAGCAAGGAGAATTCTTGCCTCAGGATTGTCAGCACCTTCCTTGGCTGGGTGGGACATGGAAATTTCCAGACCCATTTGGCCTCCATCCAGTCTCCCAATTCCTTACTTGGCTGCAAGGACTCCAGTTCTGATCCATAATCATTCCTCTTTTTTTTTTTTTTCTTCAGTCAAGGTTTCATGTAGCTTAGGCTGGTCTAGTTCCCTCCACCCCAACCACTGCCAGACCTTGTAGTTGAGAATGATCTTGGTCTTCCTGCCTCCATCTCCCCAGCATTGGAAAGACAGGTGTGCACCACCACACCTGGTTTATGAAGGGCTGGGGATGGAGCCCAGAGCCTCCTGCATGTTAGACAAGCACTCTGCCAACTAAGTTACAAGCACTCTGCCAACAGAGCTACAGGCAAGCCTCCAACTGAGCTATAAGCACTCCATCTACTGAGCTATGAACACTGCCAAAACACCAATAAGCATTCTACCCACTGAGCGCTGGCCCAGCCCTCCTGGTCTGTTGTGCACCTGCTGTATATGCTACATCTTGCCCCCAAATCCCTCCCAAGGGAAGGGTTCCTCATACAACTACGTTGTAGAAACCGAAACAACCTGTGACTAACCCAGTAAAAATCTGTCAAAGCCAGGTCACCCATTCAGGGCTGGGTGGGGACAGGGTTGGCTGGTAGGTCAGGTGTCTGTGGAGGTGACAAACTAAAAGGGCGCCCGCGGCAGAGGTTGGGAGGGAGGATGGGAGGGAGGCATTCCATGCTGAGCGCAGAGCTATGCAAAAGCCCTGAAGCAGGATGAACTAGCACATTCCAGGCTGTGAAGTGAGGAAAAGGGTGAGAGGAGCGGATTAGATGACACAGAGGTTGTTGACCTGGAGATGCAGGAGTAGGACGTGGAGCAAGCCCTGTGACACCTGCTCCTGTTCACACACTGATGTGGCTCCCAATCCCTGGAGGGGAGAATCCCAGCTCCTCAGCTAGACTGGGAATATTGCCAGTTGGTGACCGGACCGAGCCCTCCGCTTAAAAAAAGACCCTAAAGTCACCTGGTTGTAGTTGTTTCTTACACTGGCCCTGAACTCTAGGTAAAAAGTGCCTGCTTAGCCTTACAGTGGTCATATCATACAAACCTCAGTTGGGGTGAAAGGAGAGAATAGAAAAAGTTGGATCATGAACACCCACTATGGTCATACACATCTGCTGTGACCTCTAGTCCTGGGCCTGGGGAGTTGGGGTTAAGGATTTCCACCTGTAGCTCCAACCTGCCTGGCTTTTCCAGGCTGCTGCCTGGCCTGTTTCTCCTTAGACTTTCAAGTTGTTGTTAGGCTCCTGGTAGCACTAGCAGGTCTGTGAGTGCCCAGACTGTAGTCCCACCCAGTGGCTGCCCCCAGCTTGCGACTTTTTTTAGACAAGGTTTGTGAAGTTGCTGATTTATTTTATTGACCTTTTGGGTGACAGGAGAGGAGACATGGGCCCTGATTGGGGATCTTCCTGGGAAAAGGACATGTTATCTTTCAGGTGTGGCATCTCTGCAAAACTGGGGATCCTTCAAGTCAAATTGGGGTTGCCATTCATCTCGCCTGGGGAAGGGGGTGAGTTCCTGTCCCCAGGGTAATTGGCAGTGGGGGCCTGTCTCTGAGCTCCAGGACAGGCCAGACCCTGCCTGGCTCCTTCAATGCGGACAGAGACCCAGCAAGTCCTGCTGGGTGCAGCCAGCAAGACAACAGTGGTGTGCAGGGTTGGTTGCACGGTGGTGACGGTGATGCTGAGGTGCCTGGGGACCAGGCTGTAGGTCAGGTACTGCTGTGGGGTCTGAATCAGCCACGAGTGCATGCAGGAGATGGCGTCCCTCCAGCCACTGCAGTAGCTCACCTGCAACAGAGCAGAATTCAGCAAGTGTGCACAGTCTGACCCACCACACACTCGTGCACCTAAATAAACCAAGGAGCACTTATAGAGCACCTGCTGTGTGCTAGACAGCTCTCAACTGTGCCTAGGCTCACACTTTCTATGCCACCTATGAGCCCCAATCCTGGCCATGGAAGGGTGGGGTCCCTAGAATCAGACACAGGGCTGGGTTCACATTGTGGCTCACGGGGAGAATCCAGACCTTGTCAGAGAGGGAGCCATGGATTCCCCATGCCACAGAAGGCAGAAGACCCACTCAGCCACCGCTGTGTACTGTGCATGTGCACAGAGATGCCACAGCCCCTCCTCTGCAACCCAGGCCTGGGGTGCGTCTCAGCATAGATGCCCCTGTCTAGAATCCTCCAGTGAAGTCCTAGGGACATGGCTTGGGGTGGAGCCCCTGCCTAGAATCCCCCAGTGAGGGTCTTCTTCCTTGAGACTGCAGCACTTGGCCTGCTGAGGCAGTAGTATTCCCATGAGTTTGGGACCGTCCTCTAAGTGAGATTCTGTCTTGTAAACCCAATAAATGAACATATATATATATATTTGGAGCTGAGGCCGGAACCCAGGGCTTTGTGCTTGCTAGGCAAGCGCTCTACCACTGAGCTAAATCCCCAACCCCATGAATAAAATATTTTAATGCAACACTTCATGGGGTCTTTGTTTTTTGATGATGCCAGGGTTGGACCCAGGGTCTTGCTAGACAACTGCCCCACCACTAAGCCTGACCCTCTAAGGCCTGATGCAATCCTTTTAAAAATAAAAAACATCCAGGCACGGTGGCACATGACTGTCACCCTAGCACTTGGGGAGGTGGAAGTCGGAGGATCAGGAGTCCAAGGTCATCCTCTGCTACATCCCGAGTTCCAGGTCAGCCTGGGCTGCATGTATCAAAAACATACAAGTAAAAAAATTAACAACAAAAAATCCATGAAGGGGTCTAGAGAGAGGGCTCATCGGTTAAGAACACTCATTGCTCTTGCAGAAGACCTGGGTTCAGTTCCCAGCACCCACATGGCAGTTCCGAGAGATCCGACGCCCTCTTCTGGCTCCTCCAGCATTGTCACTTATGCAGGCAGAACACTCATATACATAAAGTAAAAATAAATCTTTTACCAAATTAATGCAGATTCCAGTATTGAAATTTTCAGAAGGCGACCCCACAGTGCTCAATCCCTGCCTCGAATTTCTCGGGGGCCCCTCGGCGCCCCTGTGTGAACTGAGCACACAGGTGAGCCCATGCGCTCAGTCTACCTCCTGTTCTTCCAGCCTAGAGCCCTCCTGTCCGTGCGCACGCGCACCTGAGGGACCGGGTGTCCGGGTGACACAGCCCCGCCCGCCCTCACTCACGGTCCTGACCATCTGCCCGCTGCGCAGCCTCGGGGGACCAGCGTGGGCCCCCACACACGCGCACTAGCGCGCGCACGAAGTGGTGTCCGCAGAGCTTGTCGCGGGCCTCCAGTGGCTGCTCGAGTCGCAGAGCGAACCCCAAAGTTGGGAGAAGCAGGAGCAGCATCCAGGCCGGGAGAGACGCGTGCATGGCGGCGGGCGGCTGGGGGCTCCCCGCGGGGACGCCCCTTATATTCGCCTCGGGCCGCCCAGCTGGGTCCTTGGAGGGAAAACATTGGGTGCAGAATCACAGAAGGTCGAGGTGGGGGTCACGGCCGAGGTCTCTGTCTGGGCCAGGATCTTCCGCAAGGGGAGCATTGTGCCAGGGGAGCACTGTGCCAGGAGTCTCTTCTTCCCCAACCTCTCTAAAAAGCCAAGACCCCCTCCAGCTTTATGGTGGCGCCCACCTGCTCCGCTAGCACTCGGGAAGCTGAGGCAGGAGGATTGCTGCGAGTTCCAGGTCAGCCTGGGCTGCCTGGAATTGGGGTATTTTTGACTCGGTTTTGCCAAAGACGGAAACCGAGGCTGGGAGATGTGTTCAAGTGTTATACTTGAACCGCCCCTGTCCCTCTTTCTTCCACTTGGGGGCCTGATGGTGCCCACCTTGGTGGGTGCACACATGTGGGATGTGCACAGGGCTGGGTGCTCTGGCAGGACTGGAACCTTCTGAGCTGCAGCCCTGGCCTCTGATGGCCCCCACCAGTGCCTGTAATCAGCTCCCATAGCGAGCCAAGGACCCCCAGCTGTGCTGGACGGGAGCTGGGTGTCCTATGGTTATGGCCAAGGCTCTCCAATCAGTCCTTCCTCCCCCTAGCCTGCTGCCTCTCCACCCCCAGGCTGAACCTTAACCAAGCTTCCCACAGCCCCAAGTCAAAGACAAACCATGTTTTCCACAGAACTTCTTTAATCATTTGGCAAAGACTCCCAGAGCCCAACCTGTGCCAACTGCAAGCTGAGGCTGAGCAGCGCCCCTAAGGAGCCAACGGGGCAGGTGAGGTGGGGCTTGGCACAGCTGGGGTCCCACACCTGGGGTCAAGAGTCAGGGTGGGACAGCAGGCAGCGGATGACACTGGGGGTTCTGAGGGTAAGAGTTTTCCAGAAGGCAAAAAATGTCAGTCAAGCCTTCCTATCAGGTGAGGAGGCTGAGCAAGGCCTACGGTGGTATATTTAGAGTGACAGTAGTGTCCTCATTCAGGTTCAACAGCAGGGGAAGTTGGAAGTGCTGAGCTGGGCAGGGCTCAGCCACCTGCCTTGAACCTCACTGGCTGCAAAGGTCTCTGGCTGCTGAGCCACACCATGGCCTGGTGAGGGGTCTTTGAAAAATCAGGAGCCTTTAGGAAGCTTCAGTGTGGGGCAGCTTGCTGCCTGAGGTCATACTATCAGGCCACAGAAAGTGAGGCGTGAGTGTGTTTGTGTGTGTGTGTGTGTGTGTGTGTGTGTGTGTGTGTGTGCGTGTGTGTGTGTGTGTGTGCGTGTGTGTGTGTGTGTGTGCGTGTGTGTGTGTGTGTGTGCGTGTGTGTGTGTGTGTGTGTGTGTGTGTGTGTGTGTGTATGCCTGCGTCTCCCTGGCTGCTACCCGCGGCTCCCACGCCACAGAGTGTCCAGCTGTGGGCCCAGCGCACTGAAGGCCGGCCTGTCCTCGGGGCTGGGTGCCCAGCACAGCTTCATGAGCTCGTGAACCTGAGGGTTGGGGAACACAGGGTGGGCACCTGAGCACTCTGCAGGGCCTGGATTCCATTCAGTTAACAACTCGCTCCCTATGCATCTCGGAACAGTCTGTCCCTGTGCTCTCCACTGGTTGTTCCCTCCCCTCTTCTGTTTTCCTTTCTTGAGACAGGATCTCACTTGGTTTCCTTGGCTGGCCTCAAAAGTAATCCTCCTGCCTTAGCCTCCAGATTATTGGGATGACAGGCATGTGCCCGCACACCTGGCCCCACAATCTGACTGTTACTCAAAGGCACCATATTAAATCCTGCCCAAGGCCTTTGCTCTGCTATCTCCCACTGGGAATGCCTTTTCCCAAATTCACCTTTGGGTGGGTGCCTGCTTCCCAGCCATGAGCCTGAAAGACCCGCAAACCACCTCCACACCACACTTTTAAGGTACTTTAAAATTTTTGCTCAATGGTGGAGCACTTGCCTAATGTGTGTGATTCCTTAGCTTCAATTCCCAGTGCAAAATAAATTAAAATCAAAACTATGGCTATTGGAGCTGGAGAAGGTCAGAAGAGCACTGGCTGCTCTTGTAAAGGACCTGGACTCAGTTCTCAGCGTCCATATGAAGGCTAACAACGTCTGTAACTCCAGTTCCAGGGAATTCTTCTGGCTCTGCAGACTTTGGATGAATGGCTGCACTTACATACAAGGCACTCACACACATAAAATTTTTAAAAATTTGAGTGTTTTGTGGGTTCTGGTGGCACATGTCTGTTAGTCCAGCACTCAGGAGTGCTGTGGCAGGAGGGTCACAAGTCAGCCTAGGCTACATAGGCAGAGACCCCGTCTCAACAAAAGGAGAACAAGTCAACATCTTTTATAAATTGCCAACTGTGTGCAGGGCTCGGGGCTGAGCTTCCCTCATCCCGCAAAGTAGTGTTATTCCCATTCTGGAAATGGGTAACCTGAAGCTCTGCCAAGTTCCATGATTACCATACAGGTAGCAGGTAGCCAACTCAGGGCCAGGACCTCAATCAAGAGGGCAACCCTGGGCAATGAGGCCGCCACGCTTACCTCGGCGGGGCAGGCGGGAGGTGCCGGCAAGCGGCGGCCCTCGGCCAGCAGCTCTAGGAGGCGACACAGAGCAGCCCCTTCCCGCTCTGGTCCCATCATGCGCAGGAACTCCTAAAGGAGAAGGGCGAGTGGGGCGGAGCCAGGGATAAGACTGGAGAGGCGGGGCAGCCAGCAAGGGGCGGGGCTACAGGGTAGGCTGGAAGTGCAGGGAAGGAGGGCGGCTGGAGGGCGGGGCCGGAGGGAGGCTGGAAGGGCCGGTCGGAGGGAAAGGGCGGGGCTGGCGACTTACAACTGAGGGGCTGCAGTTCTTGTCACTGTAGGTGAAGAGTTCATATAGCAGTACGCCGAAGCTCCACACGTCTGACTGGCGGGAGAAGACGTTGTCGGCCAGGGACTCAGGGGCGTACCTGCGGAGTGGGGCCGGGGCAGGGGCGTGGTCAAGGCGGAGCCAAGCCGGGAATGGCGGCTAAGAGCAACTCTAGCTCATCTGGCCCAGGTACACCGCCTGCTCCGAGGCCGGCGGCGAAAGGGGCAGGGAGTGGGTAGGCGTGGCTAGGCTGGAGAGAGCGGGGCTGTACGGGGCAGGGAGGGGGCTGGAAGCGGGGCCAGCACTGGGTGATGGGCGGCTGGAACCGGAGAGAAGTCGTTTGACGGAAAGGAGCTAGAGATGGGGTGGGCGGAGTGAAATGTGGGAACAGACTAGGAGGGGCGGGGCCGGTGATCTGATGGGCGGGAATCTGGGCAGGGGTCGGGCACCTGGAGGAGCTAGATGGTGAGGGGAGAGGCTAAAGCTGGAGGCGGGGTCAGGCAGGTGAGGACAGGGTGCGGTGACAGACACGTAAATAAAGGGGCGGGGCCTGTGTATAGCCATGTGGTTGCCAGAGGGAGCGGGTAGAGCTGGGCTGTGCAATGGGCGGGGAGACACTGTGTGAAGGGGGGTGACCCGGAGCCAGTCGGTGCAGCGGGCAGAGCTGCAGCCGTGGGCTGGGCTGTACGTGGCCTGAGTCTGTCGGGGCGTGGTTGCGGTCCGGCCTAGCTTTCGGCTGTGGGTGGGGCCACAGTGTAGGCGGGGCTGTCCCTATGGAGGGGTACCACGCCTGCGTCTGTGGGCGGGGCCTCGCACCAGAAGATGGGGCTCTGTCCCGGCTCGCGGACCACGTAGTAGTCCTTCCCTAGCGGCAGCAGCTTGGCGAGTCCAAAGTCGGCGATCTTGACGTGCGCCTCGCTCTCCACCAGGATGTTGCGAGCGGCCAGGTCGCGGTGTACGCAGCGGCAGGCGCCAAGGTACTCCATGCCCTGCGGGGAGGCGGGTAAGCCCGGCACCAGGCCCTCAGCACCCCCGCAACCTTGCAACCCGTTCTCTGGACACTTGCATCCTGGACCCCTCGGACCCGTGGAACCGTGGTACCACTAACCCCGGGGTCCTCGGGCCCCTGGCCTCGCCCCCGCCCGCGTGGGGCGCACCTTGCAGATCTGCCAGGCGAACAACAGCAGGCGGCCGGCGTGCAGGCGCGCACGATGGCGCTGCAGGAAGTCCCGCAGACAGCCGCTCGGCAGGTACTCCATCACCAGCCGCAGGCTCTGCCGACCTGGGGACAGCGACAGTATCGTTCGCTTAAACTTCAGCTATGCAAGCGCTCCACTGGGGAGGGGAAAAGGCGGGATTCGAGCCCGTACCTGAGCCCTTTTGTCAGCTACTCACCCGGCCCGTAGCTGACGCCTCGGTACTTGACGATGAAGTCGTTGTGCAGCGCCTTGAGAATCTGGATCTCCCGCTGGAAGTCCCTCTGCTGGTCTGGCCCGCTGTGCTGCAACTGTTTCACGGCCACCAGGGCACCTGTGTTGTCCCCAAGAGGGTCGTAGCGACACAGCTCCACGCTGCCAAAGTTGCCCTACAGGAGGAGGGCGAGGTTGGGACATCTGGAGCCTCAGGCGGCTCTGCCCACCCAGCCTCTCCCACTCACCTTGCCCAGCTGCGAGATGTACTTAAGGTGTCTTTCTTCGAAGATGGTGGGGTCCTGGCAGGCATAGAGCTGGGTGCCACTCCACAGCCCGTCTCGGGGTGCCAGGGTGCCAGGGGTCAGGTCTGAGAGAAGCTCATAATCTGGGGGCCACGCGCATCAGTAAGCAGGTGCGCTGCTCAGCCTCACTTCAGAACAGACTTGTTGTGTGACCTCCCTCTGAATGCCTGCTCTCTGTGCAAAGCCCACTCAAGCCCCCAGGTTCCTTTTGAGCAGTGGGAAAGATCACCCTGGGCAAAGGCTCCCTCTTTGTGCAGTGCATATGGCTACAGACACAGAGGGACACTGGGTGAGCAGAACTATAAAGTGAGACTGTGGGTCTGGACACACAGCAGATGAGTGTTGACCAAAAAAAAAAAAAAAATTAAAGAAAAAAAAATCCCATCATCTGGTGAGGCAGGAAGATCTCCAGTAGGAGGCTAGCATGAGCAAAGCAAACTCATTCTGAATCTTAAGGCAAGGGCCCTGTTTCTCACAGCAGCTGTCTTGGCTCATGCAGACTGTTGCAGGCCCAACCTTCCCAGCACAGAACTGCAGGTCTCTCCTCCCCCTGGACCCAAAGAACAGAGCAGTGCCCACCACCCTCCTGGCCTGCTGGCACCTGAGGTAATAAGGCTGTTGAGATCTCTCAGGATGGCACGGAAGGAGGGCCGTCGGCCAGGGTCATATGCCATGCACTGCTGGATGAGCAGTGCCAGCTCAGACCACTTGGGGGCTGGCAGCTGCTGGTGGTCCTCATAAAACTTGAGTTTCTGAGGTGTGAAGGGCAGGCTGCTCTTTAGGGAGATCCTTGGGAGCCCCCCCCCCCCCCCCCCCCCCCGATGAGCAGTGCCAGCTCAGACCACTTGGGGGCTGGCAGCTGCTGGTGGTCCTCATAAAACTTGAGTTTCTGAGGTGTGAAGGGCAGGCTGCTCTTTAGGGAGATCCTTGGGCGCCCCCCCCCCCCGCAGCCTCCCAACCCACCAGCCTGCGGGCCCTGAAGGCTGAGGCTAGTGGACTCTGACCTTGGCAGGCTCCAGGGCAGCAAGAGGCATGGGTATGCCACTGAACACCTCCCACACCGTAGCACCAAACCCCCACTTGTCAGCCTCCAAGCCAAGTGTCTGAGGCTCCTGAAGACACTCAGGGGCCACCCAGGGGATCCTGTCTGTGAGCACTGAATGAGGCAGGAGTGAAAAGTCAGGGCAACCTCCCTGTGCTGCACACCCTGTGCAGGGGACAGGAAGTGGCACATCCATGAGATAAGGCTTGCCTGCGCTTACTTTCCAGGCTCAGCACAGTGGGACTGACACCAGGGTCACTCAGCTTGATGAAGGGTGGACTCCCATCAGATCCCTCTCGTGCCAGGAGCAACTTCCGGGCTGAGACGTTGCCATGTGGGAAGCCTTTGTCCTCCTGGCACACAGGGAAGTGCCAAGGAGTGTTTGATGAATGAGTAACTGCCCCCCAAATGCCTCTGCATCCGTCAAAGCCTACCAGACACTGCCCTGACAACACAGGCTCTGACAGCCAGAGGCTCCTGGCATCTTGTCTAATCTCCCGTGCTGACCTGACCACGTCCCTTGCCCCTCTCAGCACACAGCTCCCTCCAGCTCACCCAGTGCTTTAGGAATGAATTAAACTCCACAGTTTGGCTTTCAAGGCCTTTCCCTCTTCTCACAGCTTGGCATTCAAGGGCCCAACTTTAATGTTCTCTCTTTCAGAAAGCCTTCTTCCCTGTTTGGTCCCTTTGACATCCACAGGTGAACAGTCCTCTCCCTGGATGCTTTCATCCCCCTGGGGATGCCCATGTCCCATTTTCTCATTCTGAAATGCCATCTCTCACATCCTTACCAAACTCCTATTCATACTACGGAGCTCATGCACTTTTTCCCCATCCACACAGAGGAAGCATTCCCTATGATGCTCACCAAGTAGTTGAGGGCATAGGCCAGCTGCTTGGTCACCTGAAGCTTCCAACTGGCCGAAACCTGGTGGCCTCGCTTACGTAGGTATGTGTCAATCGCTCCCAGGTGCACAAATTCCTGCACCATGGTGCCTGGGGGTAGAGGAAAGGGCGGGAGGGCAGGAGAAGGTGCGGTGCTGAGCACTCTGCCCCACCCCACCCTGTGAATGCAGGCAGTGGGGCTTCAGAAAGGGTGTGTCAGAGACGCAGCATAACAGCAATTAGCCAGGGAGGACAAGTGCTACACAGCTTTCTAGCCTTGGGCGTGGGATATCAGGCTGTGTCAAACCGGTGTGGGGGTGCCCGGAGGGCCGAGTGAGATGGAGCAGCTAAGGCTGTGGGGAGGGGGGGCTCACTGTCTCCAGCCATGCAGACACCATGCAGCAACACGAGGTGAGGGTAGGACACTTGACTCATCAAACTTGCAGCTTCCAGAAAGGACTAGGGGAGGGGAGAAGGAGGGAGAGACATGAACTTCCCCCACATCCAGATCATACCCCAGCGTGGTGCTCACAAGCCCCAGTTGGTCCCAGAGTGTGTCACTAATACAATACAAATGACTTTCTGATGGGGCTGAAGTCCCACTAGAAGCTACCTACAGTCTCTCACCGAGATGGACAGGTTGGCTTCTCACGGCTGATCGTGCCCTTGTGGATACTGTATCCCCATCAGTCTCTCACCGCCCCCCCCACTTGCTTCTTTCTCCTTTCTCTTTCACACACAGCCCTGCCTTGGGATCTGTGCACAGCAGCTTCCGTAACTGCTGTCTTCTGGGTTATCTGTTTACAATGAGACTGAGTCAGGGTGGCTACATTTTACGATTGCATTTGAGGTGGAGTCCTGTCATATCCCCCAGGCTGACCTTGACTTTCTGGACAAGCCTCTTGCCTCAGTCTCCCCCAAGAGCCGGGAGGACAGGCGCCCACCCTTGGATTCAGGTCTACATGTGTTTCTGCCTTGAGCTCCAGTCCCAACCACACCTCCATATAGTTTCGGTGCCTGGCGTCCATCACTTTCAGGAGGACTTCTGAGTCGTGGGCCTCGCCGTCCACTGCCTCATGCCGCCGGCCACGGTAGATCTTGGTGAAGGACCCATGGCCCAAGTTCTCTTGCTGTAGGGAGGAGACAGCTGGCGAGTGGAGACACAGGCAGCAGCAGAACCACCTCAGCCCCACGCCGTGTGCCGCCTGCCTTGTAGCGACCCTCACCCACTCCAGGGTGTCCAGGGGGATCTTGTGGAAGGTCAGCTGTGTCAGTTTGCAGTGAACTGGGGCCCGGCCAGGGGACGTGGGAGTTGGGCTGCAGCCCCTCCGGATCACAACCAAATTGGACTTTTCTAGGGAACAGAGGCAGGAAAGCAGTGATAAGAGGCAAAGAGTCCCCAGGAGTTATTGACTCCCCAGTCTGGGCTCCGGGAACCTCCAGAAGTTGCACCTGAGATGAGGACTCCAGGGCACAGGGCTGGTTTGAAAGAAGACCCTCAAGTTTGTGGTGTGAGCAGGGCAGATCCCTACAGGGGATCTGTCTTGTGACAGCCGGGCTCTGTGCAATTGGGGGACACATTGTAGCAGGGGGGGTGTTGTCTCTGAGCAAACTTCACCCACAGCAAGAGATGGAGGCAAACTGAATACTACTGACTTCAATCAAATCTAGTACTTGCTGGATGGAATCATACCTGAGCTGATCTAATAAATAAATCACATTTTCTTCCCTAAACTCCCTTATTCTATGGTTTCTGCACCACCCCAGAACTTCTGGGGGGGGGTCACAAAGGCAGGCTCACCTCTGGGTCTGGGGGGGCAGCAGGATGTGAGATTCAAGGCAATGCCATCTATGTGTAGCCCAGCATGCCAGCAGGCTGCCAGGAGTTCTCGAAGACTGCTGTGGGGCTGGCTGAGGCCAACCAGGGAGAAGGTCCCTGTGGGGTCCCGTCGGATGAGGCAGCCCTTGTAATCTGGGCCAAGGGGAGTCTGCAAAGGGGAAGTGGATCTGAGCCAGGGAAGGAAGCAGTGAGTCCTCCCTCTAGTCCAGTCTTCTCTGAGGACTGCATGTCAGTTCTGTCTTCAAACCTCTGCATACGCTGTTCCCTGTACTTTTTTTTTTAAGTTACATTTGCTTATTTATGTATTTGCTTGTATGCGTGTGTAGGCACATGTGCCACTGCTCACACATGAAGTTAGAAGACAATTTGTGTAAGTCAGTTCTCTCTTGCCATGTGAGTGACTCAGGATGTCATGCTTGACAGCAAGGGCCTTTTAACTACTGACACTCCCCCCTTTTAAATCCAATTTCTCTTCCCGGATCCTGTGATCCTCCTGCCCTGGCCTCTCTCAGGTCTGAGCTCTTCAAGGAGCAAAGGACAGGTCTGGACTCTGTCCCACCTGAAGTCACCTCCCCAAGGAAGCTCTTCCGGCCACCAGGAACCAACCTGGACACAGACTGTGAGGAGAAAGCTATCGTAGTCCTGTGGGCTGCGGCGAAGAACGTAAGAGCCTGGCACGGAGCCTGCCGCCTTGAGCTTGTGGACAGCAAAGTCCAGCCTGAGAGAGGGACACCAGCAGGGAAACCGAGTCAGCCCAAGCAGTCCCTGCTGAGCTCTAGGTGTCACCAGCCATTCCCCCAGGACCCCAGGTGCCACGAAGGTCACCCCACTGTGATGCTCACGTGATGGGGCCATGGCACAGTTCTGCCACCTCCTCCAGCAGCCGGGGTGGAGCCACCTCCCGATGGAAGAAGTGGCTGGGGTCACAGGTCAGGCGGAAGTAGCCATCCACAAGAGCCACGAAGGACAGCGCGTGTGGTAGCCCCGGAAACTCGGCTTCCTGAGGGGAGAGCTGTCAGCAGGCGTCGAGCCCGCAAGGCCGCCCGGGGTCCGCCCGGGACCCACCAGGATGTGGCCGTCTGTCCTGGTGACCGTGACCAGTCGGAGCTCCGCCACCGGACCCACCCTCGGGGCTTGCGTGATGCTGACGTCCACGATTTCGGGAAAGTCACAGAAGGGCTGAAAAAGCTGAGGAAGAGCGGAAGCCCAGTCCCGCCCACTCAGCCCCGCCCCTCCCGGAGTCCCCTTCCTTCCCCTTTCCTCCTTTCCACCCGGACTTCCAGCTCCGCCTTCGCCCGCCCCGCCCTGACTCCGCCCCTCCCGCCCCGCCCCCGCCCCACACCTCTGGGTCTCCGGGACTCCAGGAGATGCCGCTGCCTCCCGCTACGCGCAGCAGCCCAGGTGAATCCTGGCCGCCCACCGCCCCCGGGAGCCCCACGTGGAAGGTCTCGGCGGCGGCCGCTGGGTATAACCGCTCCAGGTCTATGATGTACTTGGCCATGAGCGAGTGCCGGTCCGCCTGGCAGGCGGCCACGCGGCGCAACGCGCGACTCACGGTCCTGCGGATGCGCCTCCGCGTCACGAAGCTCAAGCCCTGGATGAGGTCCCTCAGGCTGGGCGGCAGGCAGAACTTGTAGCTGTGAGGTGGAGGAACGCCGGGCCCTCAGGGTGAGGATGGGCCCCTAGGACTGGCAGGACCTCACGGGCCAACCTTCCAGCAGAGACAGTCGAGGGAGAGGGTGGGGGACACTGGAGTTGGCATGGGAAATGGGACTTGAGGGATGTGTAGGAGTTTGGTAAGGAGGGCCCCAGTCTGTAGCCAAGTGGTCCCCAGGGAGGATCAACAGGCCCTGAGGAGGATGGGGTGGACTGTAGGGGAGCCAGCTCACTGGGCTGTCTGCTCCTCTCCTAAGCCTAGGGCCCCTCACCTGACAGTCCTCAGCAGCTCCCTGGGCCGCTGGGCCTGCTCACAAGCCATCCGGGCCAGGTCCAGCACGGCCAGGCTCAGGCACTCCCCTTGCTCGTTGAGGCTGAGGCCCATAGGAAGGCGGCCACTCACCAGGTCACTGCGGTGCTGTGGGCAGCCACAGGAGGGTTAGCTGAGCTCCCACGAAAGCTGAAGCCCTGATGTCGCCCTGAGGTCCCCCAGGGCCTTCCCCACCAAAGGTCACCACCTGAGCGAAGAGGTGTTCTAAAGCATGCAGGTCAAGGATGGCGCCTGCCAAATCTTTTCGCAGAGCAAAGCGGTGACAGGTCTCCAGGCCAAACCAGTCAGGGAAGTAAAAGCTGAAGGAGTGAAGGGGCTCAGGATGGGGTGCAGACTCAGCCCTGGCTTCACAGAACCCAGGGTGGGCTGCTGATGTGCTGCTGTGTGACCTAGGGCTAACAGTACACCCTCTCTGGTCTCAACAGCATCATCTATAAAGCGTGACACTCTGAATGTGAATGGAGGGACCACTTCCTACCGCAGCCTGTAGACCAAGACTTGGGTGTCTGAGTCCTCCACGGAGAAGATGTGGCTCGGGGGGAACCAGCAGGACAAGTCTTCAGTGGCCAGAGCAAACAGTGAGTGATACACGGGCAGGATGCCTGAGGGGATGGGCTCCTCAGCACAGGCTGAGTCTGGGTCCCTCCCTCAGCAAACTCCTCCTCATCTCCCAAGAGCGCAGCACCAGGGCTGATCACTCCTCTCACTCCTCTCACTCAAGGTCTCACTGGATCCTGTTTACTTAAGCAGCCCCCATCTTGTAGGGCCCCACTCACCACAGGCCTTGGCAGCCTGCACACACAGATCCTCGGCCAAGTGGTCCCCAAAGGAAAAGAACAGTCGTTGGGGAGGCTCAGGGCCCCGAGGAGGGAGAAGTACATGCAGGGCTCCTGCCTCTGAGGATGACAGGCTGCAGGAGCGTTGAGGGATCAGGGGTGTCTCTTCACTTGGAGGTACCATGTGTGTAACCTAGAGAGGCAGGAAGATGGGCAGAGGGGGCTGACTGTGAACAGGGAAGAGGAGCCACAAGCCCCCAGATGAGGGCCAGGCTGGGGACTCAGAGATGTCAGTACTTGGATCCTTATGAACTCACACTTTTACTTCTGCACCCAGGGCAAACATACCGAATCAATTCTCTTTTCCAGTTAGTCCTGCTGATACTATGGGCAGGCATAAGCAATCAATAGCAGATAGCGAGACAGGCTTGGGCAGGGAACAGAAGGAATCCTAGGGGATGAGGACTGTCATTCCCTGAAGTCTAGAGGCCCCAGGCCCACCTGAGGCTGGAGCTAGAGGCTTGTGCGCCCATTGTGATGAGTGTCTTGTGGGTGAGTTTAATGGACAATCACCTGCACAGGCCTCTGTGTCAGTGTTCCCAACTTTCCCCGTTCTCCTCACTCCACTAAGCCCTGTGGGAAACCTCTCCTTTGTGACCCTCTGGGCAGCCCCCAGCAGGAGGGTCCCTGCAGAGACCCAGAGAACACACTCCCTAGACTACTTCCCCTTGGGAGCCTCAGAGCTGGGCAGGGCTGTAACCCCTGTGAGAAAAAAGGGACCCAACTGATGGAACCCACTCAGATGAAGCACAGTTCTACAACCGCAGGTCTGGCGAGGCGGCTTAGTGGGTAAAGGAGCTTGCTGCACAAGCCTGGCAAACTGAGTTCAATCCCCAGAGCCCATGTAAGAGTGGAGAAGGAGAGAAGCAACTCCAGAATTGTGCTCTGACCTCCACATCCATGCTGTGGCCTGTGGACCTTCCCCCACAATAAAAACAACAAAAATAGGTATGGTGACACTTGGAGATGGAGGCAGGAGGATCAAAAGTTCAAAGCCAGCCTGGGCTACTTGAGACCCTGATTGAACAAAGGAAAGCAAAACAAAACAAAAATAAATAAAGTTAAAATGCTAAATTATCAATGTTGGAGAGCTGGCTCATTGGTTAAGAGCACTGGCTGCTCTTGTAAAGGACCTGGGTTTGGTTCCCAGCACCCACATGGTGGTTAACAATCATCTGTAACTCCAGTTCCAGGGGATCCAGCCCCCTCTTCTGGCCTCCGTGGGCTCCTAAGTGCACACCCCCCAACAGAGACAACAAAAAATAAAAGTAGAGAGATGGCGCAGCAGTAAAGATCATGCGGCTCTTAACAGAGGACCTGGGTTTGGTTCCCAGCACCCACATGATGACTAATAGCAGTTCTGAACTCCAGTTCCAAGGGGCTCTGATGCCCTCTTCTGACCTCTGCGGGTATTGCATGACACAGGTGCACTTACATGCAAGCAATACACACAACATAAAATAAAAATAATAGCTGGGCAGGGGTGGCTAATGCCTTTAATCCCAGCACTGGGAGGCAGAGGCAGGCGAATCTCTGTGAGTTCAAGGCCAGCCTGGTCTACATAGTGAGTTCCAGGACAGCTGGGGCTACAGAGAGACCCTGTCTCAAAAAGATCTCCCCCCCAAATAATAATAAATAAAATATAAAAATAAATAAAAATTAAATTATCAAGGTGTGGTGGTGCACACGCGTCATCAGAAATTCGAGATCAGCCTGGGCTACATGAGATCTTAATTCAAAAACAAATACCAAGGGACTTGCCACCAAACCTGACATCCTGAGTTCTATCCCCATGTGGTGGAAGGAGAGAACTGATTCAACAAAGTTGTCCTCTGGGGCACATGCACACACTCACAGTCACACAAAATAAAACGAGTAAAAATGCTACAAAATTATATAAAAAGAAAAAAAAACAAATAATAATAATAACAATAAGCTATTCGGGAAGCTAAGGCTGGAAGACAGCTAGGGGTTGAAGTCTACGCAGTGAGCTCAACAGACAGGGCTTTAGAGGGAGATTCTACCTCGACAAATAAAATAAAATGGGAGAAATAGAACTTAAAAACTAAAGCAAATAAAAATATTGGAGAACTATGGCTTTTTCCCCACATTGAAAGGAAAAAAAGCTCCGCGGGGGAATCTGGACTTTTTCCCTCGGTCCCCGCCGCGGACCCGGGGTGGGGGCGGGGAAGCGGCCGGCGCATGCGCGGTGCCTGGAGGCCGGCCCAGCCCCGGGCCGAGTGGTGCGCCGCGCGGTTCCCTCGGCTCCCGGCCCCTCCGCCGCCCCCGGCCCGGCCCCGCCGACCTCCCCGCGGTCCGCGCACCCCCCGCTCCTACCTGTGGGCCCCGCGCCCAGGGAGGCAGGCAGAGCGGGGACCGGTGACAGGAAAGTCCCCGGCTCCTTCCTGTGCGGCCCCTCTGCTTCCTGAGCCGCTGTCATTTACCGAAAGTCAGAGCCCTGTGCAGGGCGGGGGCGGGGAGGCCCCAGGGTGGAAGATTCCAGAAGCCTTTGCTGCTCTGGCCGCCCTGTTCACAGTTGGGACCTCAGAAGAAGGGGTCGAGCGGAGGAGACTCTGGGGACCCGGGCAGGCAGGCCGTGGGCGCACAGACCGCGCGTGGGTCGGCACCTGTAACTCCTAGACCAGACACATTTCTCTCTTGCATCCATTTCCACGGTCGGGTTGGAACCCTGTAACCTTGTAATGGACATTCTTTGAACAGTAACACTGAGAAAGTGCCAGGCATGATGGCGCACGCCTTTAGTCCCAGCACTTGGAGGCAGAGGCAGGCGGATCTCTGTAAGTTCGAGGCCAGCCTGGTGTATATAGCGAGTTCCAGGACAGCTGGAACTACAGGGAGACCCTGTCTCAAAGACCAAAAAAAAAAAAAAAAAAAAAAAAACCCACTGGGAAAATGGGGAAAGGAATCTAACAACCTTCAAAGGTGGGGCTTGAGAGCCACAAAAAAATCCTCCATGAACGTATTGTATAAAACTGAGAGGGGCTTCCTTTAACAACTCACACTCATGCCTGGGTGTGCCTTATACGTTCGTCAAACACCTCTCTTTCTATAAATGCCTGATGCTCAGCAGGTAAAGGAGTTTGCCCCCAAGCCTGACTACCAGCTTCCAATCCCTGGGACCCATATGCACAGCGTGGAGAGAGGACTCCGGCTGCCCAGGCGAGGGCGGGAAGCCGGCCTCCATCCTGTCTCAGCTGGCATACTCAGACTCTTAACAAACTCCAGACTGCTTGTGGCCTGGGCCCTGGGCTTCAATTTACCCATCTGTTGCTAGTGTGGCTGTGGTACCAGGAGGAAGGCGTTGTGCACCCGAGGGGGGGTGGGGGTAGGGAGCTGCATGTGGCCTGTGCAGAGGGAGACAGTTGTTCTGAAGCACACCAAGTTCTCCTCTCAGATGTCTGGTCCTGAAACTAGGATACATGCTTCCTGCCTTTCCCTGCATCAGCAGCACCAGCAGAACTGGCTGTGTCTCTCCAGGCTGGGGGTGGGGGCGGGGGGTGACACCACACAGACTGACCAGATGAGCTGAGGTGACAGCAGGAGTGCTGAAGAGAATGAGGTGTGAGGTACAGGGTTGACAGTGCAGACCAAGAAGGGCTAACACAACTCAGCCTGGAGAGGGGGCTAGACATCTGACTTCGGCCAAGGGCACTGACCTGGCATGCATAATGTCCTGGGTTTTATCCCCTACATTCCAAAATACCTCTTGACACTGTGTGCCTCAGTTTCCCCCATAGGAATGGGAGCATAGCAAAGCCATCTTGCTGTTTTGCAGGAGCTATTTTGAGTGAAAGCCTGGAAACTCTGAGAGTCACAGGTCTCATGTTCTCAAGAGCTCCATTTCTCACTGTTTTTACATTTTTAATTAAGTATGAGCTGTAAGTAAGGCTGAGGTGAGGCCATCACTTCGCAGTGGAGGGCTGAGGCCACCTGCAGTGTTGGTCTCTCCCTGGAAGTCCACGTCTCCTGATTCCTTTGCTTCCCTTTCATAGGCTTCTCCACAAATGCCGCTAAGCTTCACGTCTTTTGGACTTTGAAATGAGAACTGGCATCAAACGTTCATATTGTATGTGTGTCTTTCTTTTTTTGTTTGTTTTTTTTTTGTTTTGTTTTTTGAGACAGGGTCTTGTTAAGTACGCCAGACTGGCTGGGCTTAAACTTGCAACACTCCTCCTGCCTCAGACTCCTGAATTCTGGGATTATAGCATGTGCCATCGTGCTTCACTGTGCCACTATGGCAGCTGCTGCTCTTCCTCCTCTTCCCAGCTATGTCTGTGTGGAGGCCAGAGGACACTGGTGTCCTGCTCTATCATGGTCTGTCTTATTCCCTTGAGATGCTCACTGGAGCTGGTCAGCAAGTCCCAGGAACTCTTCTGTCTTCCTAACACCCCCAATATGGGGGTTACACGTGAGCACCTACCTACATCTAGCTTTTCTGTATGGCTTCTGGAAAGCGCTAGCTCAGTCTTCATGTTTGCACAGCAAGTGCTCTTAGCCTCTGAGCCACGCCCCTAGACCCTCACTGGGGAATTGTAAGCAGGGGCTCTACCTCTGAGCCACACACCAGCCCCTCACTGGGGGAGTCTAGGCAGGGCCTCTACCTCTGAGCAGGCTCCCATTCCAGGCACACCCTACATCCTGCATTGCTGGGACAGGGACACTGTAGGCTTAGCCTGGTGTGATACTTAGCACACAGATTTTCTGGACCCACCAGGAAGGGCCCCATAGGTTGTATGAATGGTGGTGAATGTAACAGAGTTGGGATCAGGGCCCAACCACACAGAGAGAAAGACCTCTAGAGTCTGCAGAGATGGACCATTCAGCTCTGAATCTGGGCATGGTGACCACGGGCCTGTCATCTCAGCTATTCAGGAAGACAAATGCAAGAGGGTCACAAGTTCAAGGCCTCCTGGGAAGTTTAACTGTGTCAAAAATAAAAGGTGACAGCCGGGCGGGCATGGTGTTGCATGCCTTTAGTCCCAGCACTCAGGAGGCAGAAGTGGGAGGATCTCCGTGAACCTGGTCTACCTAGTGACCTCCAAGCCACCTGGGGCTCCCAGGAGACCCTGTCTCAAAGAGACCAAAAATAAATAAATAAAATAAAAATAAAATGTGACGTGGATCCTACACAGACACATAAAATCTTATGTGTCTGTAGGACATGAAAGTAGAGGATAACCTGGCTGGAAACAAAGGGGACTAAGAGGAGGGGAGGTGAGGACAGAAGGTGCAGGTATGAAGAAGAGCTGCTTCCATGTGTGATGTAGAGTTGCAACCTAAAAGAACAAAAGTACCAGGGCTGGGGCGGG